TTAAGCATAAGGTTGTTCTTGATATATGATACTTGTTTACTACTTAGAAATGTTAGGGTCGTAATCATGACCTGACATTTAACTTAAAACTATGTATCTACCACAATTATATATGTATAAACACTGGTTCAACGAGTCTTAGAACGGTGAGGACATTGTTTTCTGGGTTTAACAAAGTACAGCATGGTGGGTATGCAATAACAAAAATATACGTTCAATAAGAATTTAAAAAAAATCAATAAAAATCCAAATTGTTCAATAAAAATATACCTTTTCCTTTTATTTGATTTGCAATAGGCAACAATGCCTTTGTGCTTTACACACATTTAAACATGACAATGACATGATGGTAATAATAAATACATATTTACATGAATTTTATAGCAGCAAAATAACACACATTCACAAGGAACATATTCATTCACAATAGTAAGCATGAACACAGGATGCAATAGACTTTAACAAAAAAATAATGCGAAGCGAAGGATGCAAGGAATTAATTTGAGTTACACATTAAACAAAATTCAATGTCTAATTTCATTAGCTTTGTAAATAAACATAGCTAAATTTCTAATAAAAAAAATGTTTTCAGAAGAAACAAGTTCAACATATTTGTCCATATTTGGTCTACAGTAATATTTCTTTTTCAAAAATGTTGATCTAATTTCAGAGTATAACGGACATTCCATAACAAAATAATATTCACATTCAATTTTTGTACACACACTACAATATCGCATTTCTGCAGGTATTGGGTTAGGTCTATGCCATCTCCCTGTTTCTATATTTAATCTATGGGAAGATATGCGAAGCGCTGTTAAAGATTTTCTAAAAGAAATAACGTTTACTATATCAAGATATTTCTTATAACCAAACTCATTTGATAAAAGTATATAAATAAAAAATATATGTGTGCAATAAAATATAAGTTTGTTCGAAAAATAAATATGTATTCGAAAAAAAAATGTTCGGAAATTTTTTTATGTTCAATTAAAAAAAACTTGTATTCTAATACAATTATTGAATACAAATATAAATTATTCCACATATATTTACAATTGTTGAATACAAATATAAATTATTGCACTTATTTTCACAATTATTGGATACAAATATAAATTATTGCACATATATTTACAATTATTGAATGCAAATATAAATTATTGCACATATATTTATAGTTATTGAATACAAATATAAATTATTGCACATATATTTTCAATTATTGAATACAAATATAAAATTATTGAATATTGCAACATAGTCAAGCGGAGGCAGAAACGCGTATTGTCCTCCCAGTACAACTGATTTCAAAACTAACTGATGTCAGTGTTTACAGGACATTCCTTCGTGTTGATGTTTTCTCTTGTTCCCGTTGTTGTATTGACATATTGACTGTAATTATTGTATTATCTATCGTGTTGCGAAAGTAGTATATCTTTAACGTTTTACTTACTTTAAAACTTCAATATATCCATATTTGAGTTTTATTTCGAGGTTTAGTTTAACAAATTACTGATATTAAAAAACAGCTGAAAGGAGTATTGTGTAATTTTGGAATCTGATGTAGTGAAGGTATACTTGTAATTGTCATGTGGTGTTTGATGAAAGGAGCTGCAAAAGAAGACAAAGTTTGTAAGGTATGAATGCGTCTACAGAGGGACAGGTCGACGGAAGGACATGGTGATTATGACCCCTAGTGTCGCTAGAACAGTCGTATATTCATTATTCAACCAGCCTCTATAAGTCGGTTTTTACATCTCATCTGATGATAAACCTTAGTGAACCATTGCACGAGATATTCTGCGAAAATCGTTCTAGGACTCTTACTTGAGTAACTTTCTATATAGGATATTGAAAGAACGGCGAAGTCAAGCAAAAGTGATCAGTTGCGCAAAAACAGTTCCCCGGCTCAAAGAAGAGTAGCTGTCTATTTAGTACCTGAATACTGTATAGGATAATTATCCAAACAAGGGGGGGATTTTGAAGTAATTTTAGATTTTTTAGATTTTTTAGTAATATATCTGTCCACCAAGTATCTATTCCTGTTGAATGACGACATATAGAGAGAAGATCAAATATCAAGGCCATAGTGTCCGTTTAGTGGTCAAAATAAGATATACTTCCACTGACGTATATATAACGGCTTCTCACAGTTCAGAACCCTGTCGATTATGTGGTCAGAAGGTCATAAGGTAAAATAATCATGCACCTTCTGTTAGCACACTCCTAAATTTGGGGAGTGGTTCTATCTCAGGACCTTGTCATTTTACGGGAACACTCTACATTGATTCATTAAGGAAACACTAGGTTATGTCCCTTTGGTACTAGAGTGAGGGCACCCAAAATGGAACGGTACCCAAAATAGAATACTTTTGATATATATGACGCAGCAATTTGTATTTTGCAATAAAAATGAATGGCATGTATTCTCAATCAAAATTGATATAGTTTTATGCATTTTGAGAAAATTTCATCTGCCTAACTCTTGAACATTGCTCATAAACTCAATTGAAATATTAAAAAAAAATGAAATGAAAATAAATCGCGGGCAACAGTACGATGCCAAGACATAAATATTTGATCATATTTCTAAACATGGAAAACTTTATGTTCAAACGAATATTTTAGGGTATAAATGAGTAAAAATTGTTAGAAATTTTCAAAACGTTTTTGAAATGAAGAAAATAATTTGATTGCTGTCAGTTATTTCATAAGCTGACTTATATGATAAAGTGCTCGATTTTGGGTACTCGACCAGTTTAAAATTTCAAGTTAATCTGACTTTCTTTAATGAGCTCTATAAATAGACACACGCGCTGTTGAAACCCAAGAAATACATAAAATGAAGGCTAAAGACATGTACTGTTTCATTACAGTAAAAAGTTGGTCTTTCAAAAACTTTATAGGAAATATTAATATGTTTCTTTACAAAGTGTTCAAATTTGGGTACCCTCACCCTAGCTGCGTTTAAAGTCTGACTTGCATTCCATTATGGTTACGTGGCTAATCAACCACGGCTACTACACTTACCTACCAGACTTAGATGGCTTACCAAAAATAGTCTAGTGACTTACCAATCAGAGTTACATAGTTTACCAACCACAGTTACATTTAGCTGAATTATAAACCGGCTAGCTGTCCTACCTATTACAGCTGTCCTACCTATTACAGCTGTCCTACCTATTACAGCACCACAGCTGCTATCACGTAGGCTTTTATTTATTGACAAAAATAAAATGAAAAAAATTCTTAATCATTCATTGCCAGCCCGATGTAAAAATGAACCTGTTCACCGATGGCCATCAACCAGAACACCAGCCGTGTCCCAGTATAGACACACTTAGGCAGATATCGTAACACATCGGGTTAATAACTTAATAGACACCACGATAAAAGTCTTAATATGGATGTGGAATCTATTTATAGAGAGCCAATTCTGATAGCGGTTTTCAAAATGAAGGACAGTGATACTTTGTTTTAGAGTGCCGGTGTTCACAGAACATGTGTATTTCAGAGGCTGTGTGTGTGAGACGGAACGTGGTTAGAATATGGCTGCTGAAAGATATAAAATAAACAAATTGAGAAACACTTTCCAATGCAAGATAAAGATGACTCATTATCGAGGTAACAATTAACAGATGTTTGGTTTTTTCTTCCGAAAATACACATGTGAAGACACTGAGTTTTGGGCCTAAGAATCAGTTTTTGCAAGACATTTAACATGGATAAGCATTAACAATATTTTTTTACTTCCAACTTCCATCGGTCATTTTCTTTCTGTTTCTCTACATTGATATCATATGAAACAATCATAAACACTGAATATGAAAACTTTATCCATAAAATTCAATATCTGTCAAAATATAGCTCAGCTAAATGTAATATAAAAAATGAGGGGAAAAGTGATAAAACACATTCACTTTTGGACAGAAAAGGATCTAAGACATGTATTCGGACTAGTTCTATGGGAATTGTAAAAAGTCAGTTATAATAATTGAAATACAAGACAGAAATGTCATCACTGTTTCCGCCAATCCCATACGGGGTACCGTCCTTTGTTGACATCGTAGCCGTAACATGACTTATCTTTGGTCAACAAAAATAATCTAAATATTCGATAAGTTTGAGAATAATCTCATGCTATAAGGAGACTGGAGGAAACAAACACTCGAGCAGACTATTTCTGGCCCATATCGCTGATACGTCGCCGACATGTTATCAATGTTGTATTTGTTCATTAATAAAACAGAAAACAAGCACATATACAGACAAAAATGGGATTGGGTCATGCTTGAAAGACAATTATAACGATAGTTGATTAAAATAATATTGATTATGAAGATGTTAGTATAAAACAAACTGACAAAGAAAATAGAATCACTCCAGAGTCCATGTTATTGTCATCTTCAATGGCATTTCAGGAGCATGCAGGGCTATGAAAAATAAATTTAATTTTGATGTAGGCAATTATATATTTAATTTTGTTGGACAGATTTCAGTTTGAATAAAAAAATCATGTGTATGCTGACGATTACAGATTGCATTAATGAACTATCAGGATTTGTATTTGACTTAAAGGTTGCACTCTTGGGATTATTTTACTTTATTTACAACGTACTACATTTGGAATAATTTTTGCAAGTTCCTTCATCAAGTGATTCCGAAGGGTATTTCTTTACCCTGTTCTATTTGTGTTCTTTCTTTTCTTGAGAGAGGGGTCTGTTTTTTTGTGCAAAGCGATCACGTTCTCACTATTTCCTTAATCGTATTTCAATGCGTTTCAAACTCAAGTTAGGTATTAGAACTGTGCTTCACCGTCACTGGCATAACAAATATTATCTTCAGCGAAAAATTTTGAAACTCTGGACTGGCTTTACCACAAGTGCTGTTTTTATTAACCTTACCACAAAACAATAGTTCCGAACAAAAATGATTTTGTTAGGAGGAGAGACGAGGTATTTTTGAACCGGATGTGCATTCGAGACAAGGCCGACTATACACGTGTCTCCACTTTGGTTGAAGACAGCGTAACAGGGGTGAAGAACTGGGGTAACATAGGCCTACCGGTTATATAAAAACGATGAGGAGTATTGTTGTTGACTTCTTGCTGTACAGCTGATACCAACAGGATGTCTCTCACAGTGCTAATATGTACGGTGATTGCCGTAACCGTCTTGGCCATTTGTACCGCAGAACCCATCGAGTTTAAAACGTGTGGTAAGTTTATTGTTGGTGTACTGTTCTGACCCAAATCAGTATCATGAGCGTGCAAAAAATGCTCACGCAATAAATTTTGCACAGATATTTTTTTATATATAATATTTTCTAACACAAAGATTGACGAAGAAAAATTCCAACACATGAGTTGTGTATGAACTAAGCAACCTATAGATATATTTGAATTTCCACATGTCATTGAAGACGGAAGTTCAACAGGACACAGAGCATCGTTAGCTCGATTGCAATAGAAATCAGATTGAAATAAGATGACCATACTCTAGGTTAACAAGCACCCAGGTCAGTGGGTATAACGTTTTATACTAACAGATCCTCCAGAACTATTGGTGTATACTCTTGTACCATTGTTTAAGGTAAATGAATTTAAGGAAAAATGTCACAAATACTCGATTAACACAAGTATTTGTCTAACCATAGCATGATAGTGCATGTTGATTACTAATTGTTTTGTTATTGTATAAAGAGAGACTCTTGGGAGATTAGCCTTCTTTGTTTACTAAATGAATTGTACCCCCTAAACCCCTAAAAGTGTTATTATCATTAAAGGTTATGTTAAATAATATTATAGTTAATTACATACAGGCGTACGCAATTTAATTACCGACGAATAAACTGGACGCACGCCAAACTCCCAACACTGCAACTTTTTTTTATTATTCCAATGAAAAAAATGACGCAATATATAAATAGTTATTATTTTTCCAGAATCAGTACATTCTTGCAAAAACTAAATGATACAAAGTGCGTATATCATTTTTTCCTTGAACCGAAGGGAATACTTTTTAATCGAAAGTAGAATTTTTTAATTATTATTTATAGCTAAGAGACAGGAACTCATTTGTACTTTTTTTTTTCTTTTTCAACGAACGAGTGCTTTAAACGATATTCCTAGATTTATTTTATTGAACATTACAGAGAAAGTAGAAAGCTATTACTGTAAGAGTACCTATTGTGTGAAGTCATTGATACACTTTAATGATGGACTTGAATGACGCAATTCTTTTGTCATTTCAGAGAAAGTAGAGCTGTTAAGATTATATGTTGAGTGTATTCATTGACGGACTTGAATGACGTACTTACATGCTGGTGTGTTCTATGTATATTTTTGTCATTTCAGAGAAAGTAGAAAGCTATTAAGGGTATATGTTGTGTGCATGCATTGATGGACTTGAATGACGTACTGTTTTGTCATTACAGAGAAAGCTCAGAAGACTATCGATAGTGTAGACATCAGCCCATGTTCTAAACAACCATGCGAGTTCAAACACGGAATGAATGTGACAGTCACGGTCAACTTTACAGCACGTGAGTAATCTGGGTCATACTTACTTAAAAAATCAAAATGTAGGTCTAACATTTTCCAGTAAAAAAAACAATGTGCAAGTTTACAAGTTTAGTTGTTTTCTCAATGTATAACAATCGGAAAGTGAACGCAAACACTGAGATTAAGGCAAACAAATCATGTATCTTGATTTCAATATTCCAAACGAGTACTGTTGGAATACTAGGTTAATTCTTAATATTAATGATAAGTACGTGTTTGTGGTATAATTTCACTTTTTATCAAACGCTAAAAGCATTTCCATTGTATCTTAATATTGGAAATTCTGAGATCCTCCCATCTAGACTAAAACTGGAGGAACGTTACTCCCCAAGATTTTGTGATGGGTGTTTTGTAACATATGTTTACCATCTATATAACGTGGACCTTGTCTCATTCTGTATTTACATTAGCCGTCGCCTCCACAACGCTGACATCGGAGATATACGGCATAGTGATGGGAATACCGGTCAAGTTTGCCATGCCCAACTCTAACGGGTGTAAAGAGTCAGGCCTGCAGTGTCCCCTCACCAGCTCAACAAAGTATACATACGTTCAATACTTCGCGGTCATTCCAACATACCCAATGGTAAGTTCGGCTGCATCATCACGCCAGCCTCCACACCGCCTCCTGTTTTCTACTTTACCCAGAACTAACTATGTTGAATTAATTATCATACATTTATTGTTATGTTTTAATAACTAAATCGCCTATGTTTGTCCGCCGTTGAATTAATTATTATACATTTATTGTTATGTTTTAATAACTAAATCGCCTATGTTCGTCCGCCTTTGAATTTGTTACAGCTATATTTGAACCTAATCTAACGTGTTCAGAGTAATTCTACACATTTTAGGGGTTTGGATCAACTTTCGGTAAAAATGCCGCCCCCAATGACCGAAATTCGATCTAAACCCGTATTATCCTGAGCATCTTAGTTTAGGTTCAAATATAGCTGCAACGAATCCTCAGGTCCCTGTGGTCAGGACTACAACATGAAAGGAATTTGATTGCACTCTTCATTTGGTTATCTTTAATCATAATGGTCACGGTTTTGTCAGAGTATTTCGTGTTTCTGTTGGTTTTTTTGTATATATGTATATACAGCTATATTTGACGTATGAAATACTCTGAAGGGTAAACTGACGGGTTTCTTTCTGTCTCGTGACCTTTTTCTCGACACTCCGGTCCTATTTTCAATATACATGCTTCCCATTTCAGATCAGTTTAGACGTACAGTGGGACCTGAAGGACGAAAACAACAATTACGAGTTTTGTTTCGTGTTCCCAATGATGATCGTGAGCTAACCCCCTACACTGACAGTGCCTCACACTAACACAAGTCGCGCGACTTTAGTGACTACTCCTGGATCCGTTATCAACTACAAATAGGCCTATTTTTCATTCTGTACATGTACTTGTGGCGTCCTAATTAAATGTTTTCATATTTAAATATTTGTTGTTTATATTGATTCCTATGGACCCACCTTTTCAATAACGCATACAAATTTACCATCTTTAATTTGAAAGAAATATTTTGGCAGGATCATTGTCAATCGAAATCGTTCAAACCTTATACATGTTTGTTTTATCCTGGATTCAGTGTAACATATGTACACAAATTAGATACAGTAGGGATCCCGAGCCTATAAATGGCAATAACAAAAGAAACGGGGACACAACACCCACTTCTGTTCGGCCTTGGCCTAAGGTTATCAGATATCCACTATTCAGTATATATATGGAGGCCTGGCCATCACTGATTCGAATAGATGTCACCTAAAATAATTGGTATTGTAGCATATCGTCCTTAAATGACCTTAGCTGTTGAAAGGACATTAAACCCTGTACAATCAGGGGTGAAGCTGAGAATTGGCTGGTAAATATGTATTTTAGTTCAATGACAACAGTTTAAAAGATTTAATAAAATCAATTGTTAAAAATACCAGAGCGTTTTATAATTAAATGTAAAAGTGATACGAAATTATACGCCAATTTCTAAAAATGAATTTGAATGAGAGTATGTAAGCAAACATTTTCGACTAGTTCCCAGTGACAATATTTTATAAAATGATTTAAAATAAAATAATCAGGAATCGTTTAGCAAAAAATATATAAACTACCTTCAACTTTTTATGTTGGTTCTAAAATAGAGAATACCTAAACGTCAACAGAACAAAAGCTTAAACTCAAAATCTATAAAACTAAAGCAAAATATTAACAAAAGGATTGAAACCCTTCAAAACATACAAGGGAATATGACCAGAAGTTCCGGAAGAGTAAGCGTCTTCTGCTTCATCGACGACACCCGACATGTAAATCTAAGCAAAATCACAGACTTAGATATCTAATTTAAATCCGTGGTAAAATCAAAGGAATGTGGCGTACTCAAAGTGAGAACTGTGGTAGTGACAACAAAACCATCCTAACGAGCATAATACAAAATAACGACCTTCATATTACACTTAGAAAAGGTATATTTGATCATGCTGGCGGCTATAAAACTGGCCACTAGTCTTCATTAACCTGCCTTTTTTAAAACCCTGTGTTGTAAGTTTGTCAGTCAGCAGTCGACATCCATTATATCATGATGAAGTCATGAAGTTATGCTATCTGATGCAAGCTCTTAAATACCGACCAAATTAACTGCAACATGGGGAGGCATGAATGTTACTGTCGAGAAAAGGAAACTTTATGATCGGAAAATAAAAATGGCCCCACTTATTGTAAAGCGTATATTTGTAAGAGGTCCCTTTTGATCATGCTGTGAGAAAAGATCGAGGAAAACGGCTATAGTACATGTATCTTTAATTTCAAGCTCGGGAGGGTATATACGATCGACGCACTCAATCAATGGTTTTTTAACACATTACATCGTCGATCGATCTGAATGCACAACTGAAGGACTTGGCTAGGTGTTTTTTGTCCTAACAACTATAAACAAAAAGTCGACCATAGGAGAGGGGCTCAGTTTAATTTATTACCATTGGAATGCCTACAGTCTGCTCACTGCTGGAAAGTCTTGTCATCGAGCTTAACAAAGTTATTGATAACCAGGAACTTAATCATTCTATCAATCCAATCCTCTGTATATTTATTTTAACCTTTGTTGTGCTTTTCACAAGAGATGCTCAAAAATAAGTATACAGCCCTATAACAATAAATGTATATCACTGTTCGCCCTTCTCTCTGAAAAGTAAACTCTCGTAATAAGAGAAAGAAGTCGTTTCGTCTGTTTCGTTTCATAGAAAAAAAACTTTTGAAAAGAGAATGTTCAAAGATTGATCAAAAGATCTTTTGAATTTTTCAAAATCCATACTCCATTTATTCTACTTAGCAAGTATACGGATTCACCATACGACTGTAATCCGGATAAAATGGTACTAAGAATGGTATGTATTAAAGGTTTGCATAATGGTTTGGTTGATCAAAAAAAGATGAGATCGCGATAACTCATTTTTTATAAGGACTCTTAAACGTTGCGATAAAACGTTGTTTTTAAGGATTCTGAAGAGTTTCGGAATCCAATACAAAGGAGGAAGGTCGATATCTTTATCAGTAATGGGTATTCGGAAAGATTTTAATGCTTTAACTAATGTGATTAACTAGTAATTCGTCTTTCGAAGAATTGGAAAGTATATAAACACAACGTAGATGTTACCTTAATTGGTTGTCAAGCATTCTTAGTGCTATGTTTGCACGTAGACAATGTACGTTATAGTGTTTGTGAGACAAAGATTTAAATGCTAGATGCTTTGCTCACACACACGAATACATGCCTGCCATGCGGATTGTTGAGTGTTGTTTGTACATCGGGGTCAGGAAATACAGATTTTGTGCTTTATTTTCCTGTTGTTTTTCAAGTGGCTAGTTTCGTTTTACTCTTTGGGATAAGTGTAGCAAATAATTGCTGCAAGTTAAATAAGTTTTTCAAAGAAAGACTTAAATAATCTTCATTACCTTAGAAACTAAAAGTGGCTGTCGTCACATCGTGCAGGGAAAAGAGTCACCTTATCATAAATCCGACTGATATCCCGTGCGTGCAGAATAGGGGATTCGCTTTGGTGCCCTCTTTTTGGGGACACAAAAGCGACCATAATAAATCTGCTGCGCACATTGCAAGGTTTGGGATCTTCATGTTTCTCTCTACTCCTTACTACTTTTTACTTCCTAGTGCCTTTTGATATTTCGATTTTCCCGATAACTAGACTTTCCGTATTTTGTACTAGACCTATACAAAACAGCATGGATAAACATGTAGTGTCATCCTTTACTTTAATGAAAACATATAATCAACTTTTCAATTTCTTGAATTTACAGACTAAAAAGCTTAGTGACAAAATCATGTGTAGGCATGTGCTTACTCGAGCCTACGCTACTGCACAAAGATGGTCTTATACAAAACAAGAAATTAAATAAGTCAGGTAGGAGGGTGAAAAAGAAAATACTGGGGTGTGGGTTGGGGTTGCATATAGGCCTAATCTAAAGTTAGAAACATTTGAAAATGAAATAATGATTGGGCGGAATATGCACGTATTTTAAACAAAAAAAGTCAGGTATTCTTTTACAAATATATAACGTTATGTATATTGAGTTGAAATAAATACGTATAACAGTACATGTTTGTCTTATTGGGGCAAATATTAGTCATAAATGACAGTCGCTCGTCAATCATGCAACAGTTTCTGAGCACAGGGGCTCGGTTTCGAGATTTTGAGTAATATATGACGTAAATCGTAATATTTTCTGTAAATCTTAACGTATACACACCAGTAAATAATAACAACAACACTTTTTATCCGTTTTTATAACCGTATACAAATTTAGTTCCTTAGTTTTAAAAAAAAAGTCGGTACCCTCAATTTTTATGAGGTTTTAGAATGTATGCAAAAACCGGGTAAAAGGGTGTTGCTATTATTTACTGGTGTTGTATAAATATACGTTACGTTTAATATTTACCGAAAAAATACAATTTACGTTATTACTCAAAAACCCTAAACCGAGTCCCTGTGTTTTTTCAGTGATATAACGTTATTTTTTATAAAATTAAATTTGATAAATAAGTTATTAATTTTTTGAGTATTTGTAAGACATAAGCCATTAAAAAATGTATCCTTATTATGACTGTTAATTTACTACTGTATATGGTCAAAGGGAAATAAGTCACTTGTTTTCAGAAAATATTTCGAAATATATTAGAAAATGAAAAATCACGATGGGTTCCGAATTTTATAATCACGTGATTAGCTGCAGCCATGATGGTGGGTGTGCATTGATGTTTCCTGTTTGTGGATATGTAAATAGTAACTTATTTCTCTGATTTATGTTTTAATGCATATGTTTCTCTTTTTTTTCTAGGACGGTTTGGATGACGGGCCTGACCTTTTGGAAGGGGACCAGGAAAACAAGGTAAACATGCAAATATTGCTACCTTGACATCCACTAAAGTTCCAAAACAGTTAGTGACTTCACCAGATTTTACCTGTACGGTGATGAGTCAACTCGGCATTGTTCACCTTACAGACGTCACATACTACAAATGGACATTTCTAATGTAAACACAGATGATGACCATAGACTATAAGACATAAAATTGCATTTAATGCGTATTGTTTGCCGGTAATGATTCAGTCGCTCGCCATCATTTGGGAAAAGGGGGAGGGGTGTAAAACTAAAAGGTAAAACAAGACCGGTAAAGACGTGTAGGCTGTGAATACTAGAGCGAGCACTCCCGGAGTTTCCCAATTGCCATTCTGTATAACATTACTCCAGTCAATTAGGTTTTCCTATATGTTAATATTGTTTCCAATAATCCATTGCAATATCCTACTCCGGTATGATTAAATTATATTCTATAATGTACCCAATTCATCCTGGCCATGGAATCACTGAAATATAGACGCCATGAATGTATTTGCAGGCAGGTCAACATTGACTGACCAAGTCAAGTTATATATCTCTTTCCTTCACCGAAATCTTTGACGTATNAAAATCAATTGAAAATAGCTCAAAAGACCTATTTCACATAGGTCAATAGAGCTATTATAGGTCTTTACAGCTATATAGCTCAATCGGCAGAGTGTACTGGACCTGTTAGCTGTTTAGTTGGTTGGTTTCCTGAGATGTTATAAGGAGTGTCAATCATGAACTGTAACGTACACAACAGACTGGGTTTGGTTTTATTTGACAGCTATGATCATTTAAGGACGTACCTCCATGTGTGTAATGTATGTGTGCTTGTGTGTATATGTGCTGGATGCAGGGTATGTTGTGTTTGCCATCTTGTGATAGCGCACATCTGATATCAACTTTAGAGTGCTACCTGACTGAAATACCATGCTGAAGGCACCCCAACAGTATTATATTCCAACTGGTCACATTAAACTGGAAATGGGAAACCAGTTGTTAAGGCTGTAATGATACACCTATGCCACGATACGATACGTATCACGATATTCACCCACGATACGATACATTTTGATAAGATACAGGATGACGAAATGTTATGCTTCCTCTTCAAATGCGTCCCCATGTTTGTCGTGTTCCCTGACTTGTAACTTACATCTACGAACCATATGCGGTGTGATTTTCCATCGGGAACATTTAGCCGGAATCCAAAATGCTGCCAAACAGGCGAGCGAAAGGAAGCGGGAGGGTTTTTTAATTGAAGCTCCGCCATATATGTAGCATGTTTGTTTATGCAAAATTTGTAACAGCCACAACTACTGCACAGGTTTTATCATACGAGCCAATCAAATTTTACGTTACACATGTATGGTTAAATTCCGGAAGTCGGGTAATACTAAAAACCGAACTGAACCGAAACACAGAAAAAACATATTGTGAACCGAAGCAATTTAGCGCAGTTTTCGGTGCGCCGCGGTGGACCGTTACAGCCCTACCAGTTGTTACGACTACCGTTAATGCTGATCATGAACATCAGGCAAGGAATAAGAACTACCATTTTAAGGATTTTGGAATGTCCCATCTCAGCAATTTTTAGTCAATATCAAAATTAATAGGAGCCATTCTATGTAAAATTAAAAGATAATTGGAACATGGAGGCCCAGGGGTCAATGGCCCCTTTCAGGATTATCCATATATAGAGACGATATAAAGGTTCCAAATGTTGCAGCAGATCAACTGTGATTTCTTCAATGTCCCCTAATTAGCAGAAGACACATAAAAAGCACCTGATCCTGCAGGGACCCCCACACAATAGTCACCTTTTACGATATGTAGAGGGATACCACAGTTCTATTCTTTCCGTGAACCTTCACAGGGGAAATCCAGACTGAGACTCTATAACTGATCAAGGTTTATAATTCTATAAATTAATCCCTTTGTGTTCCGATGGTGCAATTGTCAAAAGCTCTGGACTTTTCAATGATGCATGACAAAAAGATGACTGCCATCACATTGGGCTGCAGATTTGAGCCTCACTCGTCCGACTGATATGTCCGAGCCTTGTTCGTCCGGCTGATATGTCCATGGAGTTTCAAGCTATATCCCTCTGGTGACACGATGATTTTCTACATGTACTACAGCTTCTTCCATCACTTAAAACACAGGCCTCCAATCAATCACTTCTAGCTTTCCTGTGCTGGTGTCAGGGGCCCACTTGTATAAAACTTCTCAACTCTTGAGATTTCCTCAAGTCTAAGATTTCCCATAGACAATACATTGCTTGAGATTTTCCTTAACTTTGAGATGTTTTATACAATTGGGCCAGGGTGTGGTGGTGGTTGTAAATAAGTAATCCCCCGAAGACCATGGTGGTGGGTAAGGTGGTAGGGAGAGTTCCATAGGGGTCATGCTATTACCTCAACATTAAGGGTTATCCTTCAAAGGGGGAACTTCCAGTCCATACATAACTGGTGACCTCTGACTTTTGACCGAAAGATCTAAGTACATGCTACTGAACTACTGTAATCACTGGTTATCTATACTACTTATTCCAGTTCATCAACATTGGAAATGGTCAGGAAAACATTCTGCTCAGCTTCTAAACAGGGAAACGCCACCAAATATTCAATTTCACCTTCTTCCAAAAATGTGTCTCACATTAATGATAAAACAACCTTCGGGTAATGAACTGTAAATGAAGTTATATTTACATTTACTAGTAAGCTTATGACACTTCTAAACTCATTAAAAATGTTGCAGAAAGAAGTACATGTACCACAAGTCTGGACAACCGTTACAATGGTTAAATTAATTTCCAAATTTTGGGTAACAAAAACTTTTCTTCTTTAAAATATGATAGTTGAAAACTTTAAGTTCTACAAGCAGTCACTCACTTTGGAATCTTGAGATTCATTTATTTGACCAACTTATATTATATTTCAGATATAAATTTAAATCTTGATCAATTAATTGAAAAGGAAGATTGTACATATGTTTACATCAACTTTGGAGTCCACATTGTCCGGCCTATTTCGTTTGCTGAAGAACATTTAGTTATCACTGGTACCAGTATGTTTGAAAATAAACTGGCATCTTTCTAAAGGATGTTATTATTTTTGTTCTTGATTGTTTTCGCTGCAGCCGAGATCTGAGACAGTAGATTTGTCAACAGATACATCCCTTCAAGTCGACATTTCTGATGCTTTAAGTGAGAGAGATAAAGTCAAGTTTACAGTTCACACTAAGGTAAGCAAACACAGTTTCTAGGTGACAGGGAATCAGTTTTGATAAAAAAAAAAAAAAAATCTTAATTAACTGTTGTTTTACCAAAATAAATGCATCAAAGTATAATGGCCAATTTGAAGTCAAAATCTCATTAATTTTGATCTTCAAAAGACATCAAAGAAGGAAACATTTGATAAGATTATTTTTCAGTATACAGAAACTTGCATAGAAGATGTTGAGGTGTGATTGTTGTAAATAACTATTCCTGTGCAGGCTTGAGGAAAGAATATATATATAAACCTGCTTATTTTTCTCTTTCTAGACATCATTGCAAAAGTTCAAGGAGGGAGAGTTTTCTGTTGTACGGCAGCATGAGGAGTTCATTTGGTTACACGATCGCTACGTGGAGAACGAAGAGTATGCTGGTGTTATTGTAAGTTTTGTATGAAAGAATATTTGTTACCATGATTTCTTCCCCTCCCCTCTAATCAGTAATGTTACCCATAGTCATTTCCTAGTGCAGGTATGATACACAGTTGCCAAGGGCATAAAATGTCGCTCAGGAGATTTCTGGTACAGTTGAAAAATAAAAAAAATAATACTTGTTATACATGTTATGCCTTTTATTGTTGCTAGCAAATTGAATCTTTTCGTTGGATAACTACCTGTAATATGTTTCATGAAGTTAAAAATGCCACTTGTATATAAGCATTGCTCAGTTTACTAACTGTAAATTCACTTTTAAGATCTTAACTTTTGACACTAAATGTATATAGAATATATCCAATAGATAACGATAACCGAGCTCACATCAACATTTACTGGTATATCCGTTGAAGTGATATTACCTGCATGCTTCAGTTAGTTGCTTACGCTCAAGAATTAATTCTCAACATTGAATGTAAATCATAATCACAAATTGGACAGTAATGTTGTTTCTCTCGTAACAAAAAAGTAGATAAAGACAGCGTAACATCATGTTATGTAAGGTTATTTTATAACATCCCATAGGCTGGAGTAATAAAACCAATGGCAGTTATGGAAATATTAAGGCATACCAACTAATCTTAATATTTTCATGATATGTAACTTCATTTTGGTATTTGTAAACATCCAGATACCCCCTGCACCCCCACGACCAGACTTTGATGCGTCACGGGAAAAGCTGCAGCGACTGGGAGAAGGGGAGGGAACAATGACCAAGGAGGAGTTCACCAAGATGAAGCAAGAGTTAGAGGCGTGAGTATTACTAACTCATTTATCCCTGAGGACACATTTGAACGCTTCCAATTCAAAGGTTGGAATAGTTCATTATGAAATTTCAGGGGTGAACTAGGGAGGTAGATAGAGACATGATTAATACTGGTAAATTAGATGTACTATTCTGGGAAAATGCATGTGTATTACCAGTAAACTGTAGAGAAAAACTGAGAGGTGAACAGGTGATCAAGCTGTAGAGGTAGCTATATATATAGACAGGTGATCAAGCTGTAGAGGTAAACAGGTGATCAAGCTGTAGAGGTAAACAGGTGATCAAGCTGTAGAGGTAAACAGGTGATCAAGCTGTAGAGGTAGACTCTGTTGAACAATTCAGATGTAGACTGTTGAACAATTCAGATTTACAATATCAATATTTTCTTTACATTTTTATGTTGTTTTAGTGAATACCTCGCCACATTCAAGAAAACTGTTGCCATGCATGAAGTGTTTCTCCAACGAATAGCTGGCCACCCCCTACTCAGGACAGATGTCAACTTTGAAGTTTTCCTAGAATACGATCAAGATGTAAGTTTGTTACTTGGTTGTGACACATTTCCTTTAATAAGGAAAAAGACTACAGAACCTGAATTGTGCCCGCGCACAATAAACGTTGTCTCAAACTTAACTATAGACCAATATACCGAAAAACAGGACTTTGTTTCTTTCTTCACCGAAAGTTCTCTCCTTTACAATCATAATTTGACAAAGTTTCAGGTTTCATATTTATTTTACTGTCCTTATTGGACTTAGCCAACTCTTTAGTGTTATCTGTTTTGGGTTATTCCATAATTAAATGCATGCGGGAGATGAGAGGCATCTATTGATACAATGGCTGGTGTTATTTACAACCAGATATGTCTACCCTTCCTGGAATCCAATCATTTCCCTATTTGATGAGTGGTGGGGTTTCCCACCCCTCCCCAATACGGTTATTTCTGGAACCGCCCTTATGTGGGTATCAATTATTAAATGCTGATTTTGAGGACCAATTCTATATGATTAATTGCCAAACAATTTTATTCTGTTGAAAATGAAAATCATAAAAATCTCTTGTGTGTTTTGAAATCATATCGTCAATATGAAGTGCTGCTATGTAACGCATGTAAGTGTACATTTCTTACGTATAGCAGCATTGCTGTTTCGTTTCCAGTTAAGTGTGAGAGGGAAGAATAAGAAGGAAAAGCTTGGAGGTTTCTTCAAAGGCCTCACTAAAACAGCTGACGAGGTGCTACTGGCATCACAAAAGGTGAGGGACGTTATCATTGATATTCTCTTACCTTCACTGCTTATTGGCATGATAATGAGGTGAGGCATCACAAAACATGAGAGCTTTCATAAATAGACTAAATTCTCCCTAGTTTTACATTGAATATTCCTTATATACAATGTGCAATAAAAAAAAAACTGTCTAAATATACCTTAAGTAAATCAGACTTGTCCACAGTTGTGCATTGCCATGTATGATATTTTTTATGAATTTACGTGATCAAAGTTGCTGCAGACAAAATCCAATGTACAATACATTGTACAATACACTCTTGAAATTCAAATATCTTGTACTTAATTAAACATGCACTAAATGATTCATATATGTATGAATTGTATTTATAGGGGTGTTCAATTTGTTATTTGGGATGTAAGCCCACTGGCTGATTTAAGTTCTCCTAGTCATTTCATATTTGTGGTGTATATTTTGTAAATTGGTAGTGAGTGTAAACTGGTTGGTTATGGGTCAAAGTTCTGTAACTGGAGAATAAAAGATAAAAAAAAACGTTATTTATGGTTTTATGGAAAGAAAAATGATTTTTGTTAATTTGAAAACTTTGTTTTGAAACAGGATGTCGATGATTTCTTTGAGAAAGAAAAAGGATTTTTGGTGGAATACCATGTTAAAATAAAGGACGCTACAATGAAATCAGATAAGATGACAAGATCACATAAAAGTAAGTTTCAATAATTAATTCTTCTTTTATTTCAAGGTTTTTGTCGCAAGAGTTATTCTGCTATTTGAACATCAATGAATAATGTATACTGATATCAAAACTATGTGAACTATTAATTAAGAACAGAAAAAATGGAATATCTACATCTAGATTCCGTAGTTAATCCCTTTCACCCCTTTGTAACTTAAGTAAACTCTTCCATGCATTGATCTGGCTTGGCCCATAATGGTCTACAGTGGTGAAAGGGTTATTAACATTTTACATGTGAACTACTCTTATGTTATTTATCAGTATTGAACCTATAATACAATGTATTCATTATTTGTTTGTAGAATTGCCAGAATAATGTAATGAAGAGTTCATTATGTTAAAATATTTCAGTTTGCCATATTTTAATTTTAAACAATTTTGTTGACTTCCAGCTGTAGCAGATAATTACATTCAGATTTCCTCAGGGTTTGTACAGATGGCAACAATAGAGAATACGGAACTAGACAAGTGAGTGGACACTCTCATCAGGAAATACAAACCCCTCTGTCGGGAAATACAAACCCCTCTGTCGGGAAATACAAACCCCTCTGTCGGGAAATACAAACCCCTCTGTCAGGAAATACAAACCCCTCTGTCGGGAAATACAAACCCCTCTGTCGGGAAATACAAACCCCTCTGTCGGAAAATACCAACTTAATAATACATGTCTTAGTTTAAAATTTTAATTTTGTTTAGGATTTTCCTGTCTCTGTTTGTTTACAGTCCTTATCTCAACATATAGGGTTTTAAAAAAGGTTTTAGGGTCAAGGTCACTGTAACTAAAAATAGATTTATGGGGAAGGGAGGTTATAGTCAGACATATGGCAGGGCCCTTGCAGACATGTCAGTGTTCTAGTTATACCCCTCGCAACGAAGTTATTTTCATTGAAAGTTTGCATTGATATTTGATCACTATCTGATGTACTTGTGCACCAGCATTTTAATTAAATTATTTACTTGGCATGGCTTCTACTGACTTTACTGTTTTATGTATATTCATGAAACTTCGCCTATATGTAAAGAGCCAAAGTATCTCAAACGAGTTCCTATTTCAGTAAGTTGACCCCAAGGTCAAGGTCACTAAATGACGTATAAATTACCAGCTGCGGAGGGTATGAGTTATCCTCCGGAGTACATTTCTAGTTTAGGACTATTCTGACTTGTATAGAATATAATCGTGTATTAATTATGAGTGAAGATTGGCAGGTCATTAACCATCGACTTCAAAAAAGTGAAATGGTATAAAAAAAAAAAACAACAGTAGGTTTAATCTGGATTACTATGCCACCCATGTATTTCTGATTAAAGTGTTTCATAAAATTAATTTTGGAATAGTTCTCATTATCTGGCATTAATTTATGTAAAACCATTGTTTGGTCTACTTTCCTACACATCTAGTTTGAAATGGAAGCTGTCCTTACCTATTGAAACAGTTTCTAAAATTGGACAGAAAGCATAATAACATTGATTCTGAGAAAATGGTTCAAACCCCATCCCTGCTCCCATCGTTGTGTATTAGTAACAAACTCAAGCTCCTAAAGGTGGTCAAAGTTCACCTCAGTAGATTTTGACATTTTTCTGTTTTATTTCCAGAGTGTTTACTAAAGTAGCTGAGACATTAGAAAAAGCAAGAGTAAGTTGTTGTTTGTTTATAGTTCAAACATATAGTGTCTGCAGAAATCTCATGACAAATTATAGTTTTCATATTTTGATTGTGGTACAATTATGTTTATTTTAAATCAATACTGTAAATAAGTACAGTAATTTATAATAGAATGGACATCTTGTTATTATCATAATTGAACAGTGATGGGTCTGGAACTCAACACCAGTGTGCTGGCAGTGCATATATACCGTATTGTTTACGTTTCCAGATTTTCTGTATTTATTAACCCTCATTAACTTAGAATATGACGTTAGAATAGGTTGGCCTCGGATCTATCACACAGATATCATTTACTGCCAACTATAAAGCTTTTAGACTTTATAAGCAGACAATCCCTGGGATAAACATTTTGGTCCTGTGTTCATTATATGGAGATCAAAGAACACTAGTAATTCCTGAGTGTATCTCTCCAGCTGCTTTTTATTTTATATTTCACATACATATATATAGCATAAACTTTGACATGTTCTAGAGAAACTTTCTTGAAGAGCTGCCCTGAAATAAACAATATCTAGACAAGTATCTTCAGACAGTTGGAAATCAAATACTACGTCCCCCTGACAGGGGGAGTCGCACCTTACTATATCAAATACCAGGGTTTAAACTCTTGTTGAATGCTCTACACCTTAAATCCAACCAGGGCTGGTTTTAAACGTCTATTGCTATGTTGTTATTTCCTGTAGAAATTAGAGGGCCGGGTGTCCTCAGACGAAGACCTGAAGCTAAGTGACACCCTGCGCTACTACATGAGGGATTCGGCTGCTGCTAAGGACCTCCTGTACAGACGCACACGGTCGCTTGCCGACTACGAGTCTGCCAACAAAGCCTTAGAAAAAGCTAGAACTAAAAACAAAGAGGTTGCACAGGTAATTACTTTGAATGTGTTATTGTATCATAAAAAAGATATTTTAGAAAGCACCATGCTGATCACAGTAGATAGTAAATGTATCATAAATGTTCCTCTTATTCAACCTGTTTGTTTTTAAATGTTGATCAATGTTTTTATTGTGACATTTCAGGCCGAAAAACACCAAACACAATGCTGCGAGAAATTTGAAAAGATATCAGATGTTGCCAAAAAAGGTAAACTCTTTTCCAAAGTATTTCCTTGTTTAACCTGTTTAGGTGATTCCCTGGTCAGCTTGAAGTTGTAATTAGGGTTTGATTTTCTTACTTACGATTTCAAGAATATCTCAATATTAATTCTTAAATATACTTAGTGTTTGATAAATTTCAGTTGTTAAATGATATTGAGACAAGAAAATCAGTATGGAAGATTTAATTCCTACATTCAGTCTGCATAGAATAAATTTAAAATTAAAACTCATTTAATCAAAAGCTTTGAAAAACAGTGTTATTAACTTTCATTGATTAAGTAATTTAAGCATTTTAGCATTACATGTATAATGATTTCCTGGATGTTTTCATCTTGACTTAAATGAAATTAATAATCCAAGACTGTTGTCATTGTGATTGAAAATACTCCATTACTGTAACGCAAGCCTGCCTACAAAAAATGATGACGGTCAAAGCTGTTGGGAACCAGTCACTTGGTGTAAGACCACTAAGTCTGTCCCTAATAAAATGGTGGATAGGTCAACTTTTTTTTAATCTTTTGCAGAATTAACAGAATTCAAGGGGCGTAGGATACAGTACTTCAGGAAGAATTTGGTGGATTTAGTAGAACTAGAACTGAAGCATGCCACGGTAGGGACATGTAAATCTTCCTCCATTAGAGAGACAGGCTGTGGGTGGATTTAGTAGAGCTAGAACTGAGGCATGCCACGGTAGGTAAATGTAGATCTTCTTCCATTAGACAAACAGGCTGTGGGTGGTCTTAGTAGAGCTAGAACTGAAGCATGCGACGGTAGGTACATGTAGATCTTCCTTCATTAGGCAGACAGGCTGTGGGTGGTAAGTGGTGCAGTTGATAGCACACTCCAATTAGACAGACAGGCTGTGGGTGGATGCCAAGGTAGGTACATGTAGATCTTCTTCCATTAGACAGACAGGCTGTGGGTGGATTTAGTAGATCTAGAACTGAAGCATGCCAAGGTTGGTAAATGTAAATCTTCCTCCATTAGACAGCCAGGCTGTGGGTGGATTTAGTAGAGCTAGAATTGAAGCATGCCACGGTGGGTACATGTAGATCTTCCTCCATTAGCCAGACAGGCTGTGGGTGGATTTAGGAGAGCTAGAACTGAAGCATGCCAAGGTAGGTACATGGAAATCTTCCGCCATTAGACAGACAGGCTGTGGGCGGCTAGGGGTGCAGTTGATAGCACACTCCCCTTTCACCGAACCCCTAGAGACAGGCTGTGGGTGGATTTAGTAGAGCTAGCACTTAAGCATGCCACGGTAGGAACATGTAGATTTTCCTCCATTAAACAGACAGGCTGTGGGTGGATTTAGTAGGGCTAGAACTGAAGCATGCCACGGCAGGAACATGTAAATCTTCCTCCATTAGACAGCCAGGCTGTGGGTGGATTTAGTAGAGCTAGAACTGAGGCATGCCACGGTAGGTAAATGTAGATCTTCTTCCATTAGACAAACAGGCTGTGGGTGGATTTAGTAGAGCTAGAGCTGAAGCATGCCACGGTAGGTACTTGTAAATCTTCCTCCATTAGACAGCCAGGCTGTGGGTGGATTTAGTAGAGCTAGAACTTAAGCATGCCACGGTAGGTACATGTAAGTCTTCCTCCATTAGACAGACAGGCTGTGGGAGGATTTTGTAGAGCTAGAACTGAAGCATGCCAAGGTAGATACATGTAGATCTTCCTCCATTAGCCAGACAGGCTGTGGGTGGATTTAGAAGAACTAGAACTGAAGCATGCCAAGGTAGGTACATGTAGATCTTCCTTCATTAGACAGACAGGCTGTGGGGGGATTTAGTAGAACTAGAACTGAAGCATGCCACGGTAGGGACATGCAGGTCTTCCTTCATTAGACAGACAGGCTGTGGGGGGTTAGTGGTGCAGTTGATAGCACACTCCAATTAGACAGACAGGCTGTGGGTGGTAAGTGGTGCAGTTGATAGCACACTCCAATTAGACAGACAGGCTGTGGGTGGTTAGTGGGGCAGTTGATAGCACACTCCCCTTTCACCGAACCCCTAGAGACAGGCTGTGGGTGGATTTAGTAGATCTAGAACTGAAGCATGCCAAGGTAGGTACATGTAAATCTTCCCCCATTAGACAGACAGGCTGTGGGAGGATTTAGTAGAGCTAGAACTGAGGCATGCCACGGTAGGATCATGTAGATCTTCTTCCATTAGACAAACAGGCTGTGGGTGGATTTAGTAGATCTAGAACTGAAGCATGCCAAGGTAGGTACATGGAAATCTTCCGCCATTAGACAGACAGGCTGTGGGGGGATTTAGTAGAGCTAGAAATGAAGCATGCCACGGTAGGAACACGTAGATGTTCCTCCATTAGACAGACAGGCTGTGGGGGGATTTAGTAGAGCTAGAAATGAAGCATGCCACGGTAGGAACATGTAGATCTTCCTTCATTAGGCAGACAGGCTGTGGGTGGTAAGTGGTGCAGTTGATAGCACACTCCAATTAGACAGACAGGCTGTGGGTGGGTTTAGTAGAGCTAGAACTGAAGCCTGCCACGGTAGGTACATGTAGATTTTCCTCCATTAGACAAACAGGCTGTGGGTGGATTTAGTAGAGCTAGAGCTGAAGCATGCCACGGTAGGTACTTGTAAATCTTCCTCCATTAGACAGCCAGGCTGTGGGTGGATTTAGTAGAGCTAGCACTTAAGCATGCCACGGTAGGAACATGTAGATCTTCCTTCATTAGACAGACAGGCTGTGGGTGGTTAGTGGTGCAGTTGATAGCACACTCCCCTTTCACCGAACCCCTAGCCAACAAGAATGATTAATATAAGTTAATCTTGTTTTAAAATTGTTGCAAAATAAAAACAATAAAGCTTATACAGACAGGCTACACACACAGAGCGGTAGTTAGAGTTACTTCCTTGTTTTCTATAAGGGATGTCTATCTTAAGAGGGCAATTAGACTCAAGACTTTATCTTTATTTGGTTCTCAATACTGAAAACTTTTGCTTATCTTAAAAGAGGACCTCAGAATTCAAGACTCTTGTCTTAGTTTGAGGAACTCTGCTATGTTATAAGAATATTTATATTAATTTTGTCAAGTGGAAATGTAAATAGCTGCATTTTTTCAAAATACATGTATTTCGGAAAATTTAATGAACTTTTCAATTATTCTTCACACAGGCACAAGTACAACTTCTTAAAAACTGTATATCTGCCATGAGAGAGGAAGCGTGAAGTGTCCATACAGTGTGATGATGTAAATGTGATATGTGGGAAATGTTGCCGGGCAATTTATCTACAGCGCAGGAATGTTTACTTATTTCGTCATCAAGGAACATTGCTATGGCAACGTGTGATGAAAAACAAGTGGAATGAAAATTGCAGGTGTCTTATACTTCATTTGTAAAAAACACTGCTTTTTAGAATTGGCTAATAGGTAAATTACAAATTTGTATGCGAGATGTGTTTAGGTTTATACACAAGAATATTCTATGACATAAATTATAGAAACAGCAGAGTTAATTGGCTAAATAACCATTCTCCAATTACAATTGGGTAATGTTGGTGTCGTCTCACTTAATATTTGTGAAACAAAATATTAGTGTCTTTATAAATGTGCAATTGTTGGTTAGATCCATTTAATGGATCTCAAACTGATCTTTAACTTAAACTCGGTAAAACCTCTTTTTGTACTTGTGAACATACCGGCATATGATGGTGGGCATTTGTTAGCATATTATTACAGATGGGAAATCTGAAACAAGATTATATATAGGGTACTGTAAGACACTCATAAGAACCAGTGTTGTTTGTAACTTAATATTATGCATTTTAAATTCATCTTGAAACACCAGTCTGTACAATAGTAGGAAGTGTGTTAAGATCACTGCTGTAGTCATTGGAGAAACTGGGGATGTCTGTGAGGTAACTTTTGTTTTAGAAGAATTTGTTAGGTAAACTGATTAAAATTTGTCGTAACATTTAGCTTTCAACAAAAAAAGTTGAAATACTAGTATATACAGTTTTTGTATATACAATTTATACTCCTAGCATCTGTTCTAAAATATTGTTACCATCTTAAGTTAAGAACTATTTTTTTATTTCCTTCAGTTTTTTTATCTGTGAACATGTGAAAGGAAAGAAAGGTAAAATTAAACATGCTGAATACACAGGGACCAGGGAATATGTGTTGACATTATTACAATACAATATCTGAATGTTCATCTTTATTTTGCTGTCATTACCACTGTCTGTGTTTGCTGAGAAAAAGTGTGAGCTGCAGATTGGACAAAAAATCAACAAATCCAGGCCATTTTGGCCTTTTTCTTTGTGCTCATGTTCGTTATCTTCCCAAAAAGGCCTTAAGACTTGAATACTGTGGCTTTATACATATTAGATTTAGAGAGATCATGCTATATGTTATGTTTTCAAATACTCTTTTATTTCTTTCTTATACTTGCAATTTTAATATGAAGATGTGTACATGTAGAGCGTTATAACCATAGTGTATGATTTCTGTGTCCATTCCATTTACATTTGATGTTTAAGTACCTTGGTGTAGCATTGTTTTTAAATGTCTACAGTGTATGTTTGATCGAACTAATAGTTTGAGTGCATATAAATGAATATTTTTTCTTTGTACAAAGATTGTCTTCAGTGTTTTGTTTCCCTCCATATCTGCTGAAAATTATGGTGAAGTGTACCAATACATCAATGTTAAATCATGTACTCCTCTATTTATACTTAAATGTAATATATGTATTTTGTCAGCATCTTATTATTATTTTTATTTCATAAGACATTGCCCTTTAGGTTAGTATAATATACTTCAAATGTGCATCCAAACTACGTCCAGATGGGATTGCATCCATGCGTAGCGGGTAAGATTTGATAGGTACGAGTCTAAAAATCACACTTTTATTCTATGATTTTGTTCCTCTTGAGTGCAACACACAGTACGTACATGTATATATCTTTGGTTGTTTCCTACCTACTTCATACCTGATTATACAAGAAGTGCAGAGATACTGTCCTACATTTATAGCTAATAAACATTAAACAATAAATATAGACAATAGAACAGTATCCATTATAAGCTCATATTTATCATATTTTTTAATTTAAGATTATGCAGTGTGATTTTGTACTAGCACTTAGAGAAGTGATAAGAACATAGAGTTGTGGATCAAAAATTTAGTTTAGATTTATATATAGCTGGTTATATAACAGCATGTCTACCATGTCCGACTTTTAGATAATGTACTTCATTTACCTTCTACAATCGAGTCTAAAGTCAAATATTTGAAAGAGAGGATAAGGTCACAGACATAGATACATATAATATGTGTATGTACTACTTTAGGAAAGGGAAGGTTTAATCGGATCTATTTTACAGATCCAGAATGGTTCCTCAATATTTGTAAGGTTTTGGTTTAACCCTATAAATATCTAGTCTTTTCTGTTAAATCTTCCTCTTTTGTTATGATGAGGTTACATATAATATTAATATATATACACACAGACGTGCACTGTATAAGTACCGTATGAATGGGAGATTAAATGAGAGATCATAATTCTAATTCTGTTGTTTGTGATTTTTTTCCTAATGGTAATCGCCTTGTAATCACACCAAATTCCAGTGATATTAATTACATGATCGCGGGATATTAATTAAAACCTTGGGAAGTAAGTTATATCTCGGAGGATGAGTGAACTCTCCTTGGACATTGGTAAAATGTTGCTGGATATCCTGGTACAAGTGTATAGCCAAGAGACCTAGGATCACTATGCTTGGCCAGAAGCATGCTGGGGATAAATGATTATCAAATGTTCAGATGTTGCTGGATATCCTGGTAAGAGTGGATAGCCAAGAGACCTGGGATCACTATACTTGGCCCGAAGCATGCTGGGGATAAAGGATTATCCAATGTTCAGATGTACCTGGATATCCTGGGAAGAGTGTATAGCCAAGAGACCTAGTATCACTATACTTGGCCAGAAGCATACTGGGGATAAAGGATTATCAACTGTTCAGATGTACCTGGATATCCTGGTAAGCGTGTACAGCCAAGAGACCTAAGATCACTATACTTGGCCAGAAGCATACTGGGGATAAAGGATTATCAAGTGTTCAGATGTTCCTGGATATCATGGTAAGAGTGTATAGCCAAGAGACCTGGGATCACTAAACTCGGCCAGAAGCATGCTGGGGATAAAGGATTATCAACTGTTCAGATGTACCTGTACCGATTTTGCTAGTAAATATGTATTATTTTTCGATCCTGTCTTTCCATGAATTTTATGGTTCTGTATACATGTAGCTGTTTTTCTGAGTAAGTACAATGTACTTAAAAAAACAACTGATTATATATTTATTTATTTTTTAATTTTCCATAAAATATATCACAGTGAATTCATACTAGGTAAATATTTACAAAGTTTTTTGTTATGCTTCCATGATAACCACACTTCGAGCACTCGGCTGTCGAGAAGCCCCTCCCTTTTTGGCATCCTGTCGAGAGACACGACCATCCTGTTTCCTTGGAGATGGTGTGTCCTGTTTCCTTGGAGATGGTGTGTCCCGTTTCCTTGGTGATGATGAAATTGGGGGTATGGGTGTATGCTTCTGTGTGGACAGATCAGTTTCTTGCCTTGCGAGATGGATTGAACGAGCAGACCTTGTCCTGCTTACGGGAGTGTCTGAAATATTATATTACAGGTTTATGAGATTAAATAAAAAATATTTTAACATGGAAGAATTCTAAGAAATGACTGCATAGGTATATAAAAAGATACATCTAAATGAACATGTACTGTAAAAGCAAGAGTGTTAGTGGACAGTGGTGACTTACTTTGGCCAAACATGAGTATCTGATCAGCAGATTGGACATCCTTATGTGTATTTCAGCATAGTATCTTGTAACAAGAGGCCCAGGGGGCTTAATAGCTCACCTGGTATTTTATTTTCAATTTAAAACCTGCTGAGTACCATACAGGTTTATCAAAGGAGTACAAGAAACAAAGTTGGTGTTCTTTTCCCAAGATGCTCTAGATCCTCTATTTCCCATAATCTGCCCCAAAGAAGGGGGCCCACACACCTCAGTTTATACAAAATTTGGTCAAAATCCACTGAGCCGTTAAGGACTAGTAGCGATTTAAAGGAAAAAGTTGCGGGACGAAGGACGTTGCTTCGGGCCAGGTCAGCTAAAAATTTGTCACATTGTTTTACAGTAGAACACTTGTGAAAGTCACTTTGAATTGTATTTTACATTGTAGTGTATTTCTTTCAACATTATATATAAACAAGAAAGCAGAAAAAAATCCCCCTCTCCCCTCCAGCTTTTATGTGCTAAGATACAATGAACATGCAAAGGTGACACTCAACTGTACAAATTACACGAGATTTTTACGGTTCTTTAATAAAAAAAAAACACTCCAAGATTGCTGTTCACCATTGATTAGGAAAATGCTGAAATGTCATACAGCATGCATAAGGGTTGTAACATTGTTTGAAAATTAATCTGGAAAACATTTACATAAATGATTATCAATGACTGATATACGGTAGTGGTAACTGAGGTTCATGCTTTAATATCTGAAGTAACAGACATCTTGAAATGGACAAATTAAGAGCAATTGTATTCCAATTGAACAACAGTATAGTTTATATCTTCAGCTGTAACTAGAAGTACCATTTGCATGTAACAAATATGTCGTGATAAAGAAACATCCATAATTACATGCCAACACAAAAACTTTCACTAAGTTTGGCGGAAATAGCATGCATCCGGCAGCCATTGTCTGTGAGGATTACAAGCATTGTCAACATTTTCAGTTGAACATACTAGCACACTTATTACATTGTATATGTCTCTAGTGCAATTTTAGTTCTGGAACCTAGCAGACGTACACCACTGCTTTCCTGTAGTGTTAAACACACTTTTACTGAGCTCATTGTTATAATAGCATGGACTTATTTTGAATTAAAAATAAATATTGATTAGTCCTTTGAATGTTGAAAATTAAATGTCAAAAAAAATAAAGTTGAGATTATCCTAATGACATGCATCTTTTTAGGTCAGATCAGTTGGTATTGGGAGCATTACAGTAGCCACAACAACATGTAACAAACAACATACATGTACATACAAAGGAAGCCCTATAAGTTCTCTGCAAGTTCAATCTTTTGTTTTTTTATCTGTTGGATCTAAATATCTTGTCAACAGCAAATTCATCTCGTAACTTTTGATTAAAATTGTGTACAACTGTGTTTCACCAAAGTCCTTTCAAAGGGAGGTAATTGTTGGTTGATTAGAATAGTACTTAATGTGTAAAAAGATGTCCGAGAAATTGTGATACCATTCAATTAAACCACGAAAATCCAAAATTCTGATCAGTCTCAAATTAAAGCACTACCACAAAGGAACCTACATATAAAATTGGGGAAAATCTCTCCAGTATTTCTTGAGAAAAAGTGATAAAAAACTTCAACTGTCAATTTTTCAAAAATTTAAACATTCACAACAATGGACCGAATGGAACCTACATATGAAATTTGAGAAAGATCTTTTAACTACGGTACTTTTTGAGAAACAGCATAATACACAAACATTAAGTGTCAAAATCAAAGATGCTTACTGCTTGCGCTGGTCATGAAATGTTTTTCTGATCAAGAAATTTTAGATTATACATGTACAAACCAGGACCAGGGGAACCTACTACATAAGAAATCAAACCAGGACCAGGGGAACCTACTACAGGACCAGGAGGACCAGGGGAACCTACTACAGGACCAGGGAAACCTTCTACATAAGAAATCAAACCAGGACCAGTGGAACCTACTACATAAGAAATCAAACCAGGATCAGGGGAACCTACTACAGGACCAGGCGAACCTTCTACATAAGAAATCAAACCAGGACCAGGGGAACCTTCTACATAAGAAATCAAACCAGGACCAGTGGAACCTACTACATAAGAAATCAAACCAGGACCAGGGGAACCTTCTACATAAGAAATCAAACAAGGACCCGGGGAACCTACTACATAAGAAATCAAACCAGGACCAGAGGAACCTACTACAGGACCAGGGGAACCTACTACAGGACCAGGGAAACCTTCTACATAAGAAATCAAACCAGGACCAGGGTAACCTACTACATAAGAAATCAAACCAGGACCAGAGGAACCTACTACAGGACCAGGGGAACCTACTACAGGACCAGGGAAACCTTCTACATAAGAAATCAAACCAGGACCAGGAGAACCTACTACATAAGAAATCAAACCAGGACCAGAGGAACCTACTACAGGACCAGGGGAACCTACTACATAAGAAAGCAAACCAGGATCAGGGGAACCTACTACAGGACCAGGGGAACCTACTACAGGCCCAGGAGGACCAGGGGAACCTACTACAGGACCAGGGAAACCTTCTACATAAGAAATCAAACCAGGACCAGGGGAACCTTCTACATAAGAAATCAAACCAGGACCAGGGTAACCTACTACATAAGAAATCAAACCAGGACCAGAGGAACCTACTACAGGACCAGGGGAACCTTCTACATAAGTAATCAAACCAGGACCAGGGGAACCTACTACATAAAAAATCAAACCAGGACCAGGGGAACCTACTACAGGACCAGGGAAATATACTACATAAGAAATCAAACCAGGACCAGGGGAACCTTCTACATAAGAAATCAAACAAGGACCAGGGGAACCTACTACAGGACCAGGGGAACCTACTAAAGGACCAGGAGGACCACGGGAACCTACTACAGGACCAGGGGAACCTACTACATAAGAAAGCAAACCAGGATCAGGGGAACCTACTACAGGACCAGGGGAACCTACTAAAGGACCAGGAGGACCACGGGAACCTACTACAGGACCAGGGGAACCTACTACATAAGAAAGCAAACCAGGACCAGGGGAACCTACTACAGGACCAGGAGGACCAGTGGAACCTACTACAGGACCAGGAGGACCAGCGGAACCTACTACAGGACCAGGGGAACCTACTACATAAGAAAGCAAACCAGGACCAGGGGAACCTACTACAGGACCAGGGGAACCTACTACATAAGAAAGCAAACCAGGATCAGGGGAACCTACTACAGGACCAGGCGAACCTTCTACATAAGAAATCAAACCAGGACCAATTATACATGTACAAACCAGGACCAGGGGAACCTACTACCTAAGAAATCAACCCAGGACCAGGGGAACCTACTACAGGACCAGGAGGACCACGGGAACCTACTACAGGACCAGGGGAACCAACTACAGGACCAGGAGGACCAGGGGAACCTACTACAGGACCAGGGGAACCTACCTACTAAGAAGTTTGAGAAAAATCTGTTTTACTTGAAAAATAGTGATTGTTTAAAGGACAAAGCTCGTTATTCGATGATGGTGAACTATAAATCTGGAAAATAAAACTATGTCTAATCAATAAGAAAATAATATTTATACCAAAACCATAATAGATAACCCTACTACCATTCTCCTGACTATAAACTTAAATTCTACTGATTTTTTATACTCCAGTACTATATATCTACAACACAAAGATTTCAGAATACATGTAGATTTGAATTTCATGTCCTTGAGGTTCATATAACCTGGATTCAATGATCAGGTCTCCAGAGGGATGCTTATAATTTTTTCTGTTGAGGAGGAGCACATACATAACATTATAACATGTCATATCCATATCTGTCACCTGCAAATAATTTAACCACCAAATCAGGGGAGCTAATTATCCTCGTTATAATGTAAATGTGGAACAGTAATACCTGGGTTTTTTCTTCAGAGATGTGTACTATACAATTAAAATATAAATACCAGGTACATAAGATTTTCTTGAAAATGTATTAACATAATTAGTTTTATATAATTGTTATGGCATTATAGGTTTAAATATTAAAACTGGGTAAATTCATTGGTGCAATACAAAATGAGAATATGAAAAACTGCAAGAAAACTTCTTGTGTGACCATTTTAACTCTGTTGAGAAATAGATAAGTAAACTAAATCAAATACCAATACTTCACCAGAAAAATAAACAATAGATATATATTTTATACACATTGAAACTAAAAGAAAGAAAATGAACATGAAAATATTTAAATCACATCTCAAGTTTTTTTTAGTTAATTCTTTTGTTTTATCATGTATACGTATCTAACCATTGAAGACCAACAGTCTGAACAAACGTACAAGAGGTGAGATATATTTTATGACATTGGTTGAAGCAATAATTCCATCTTAAGAAGTCCTTTATCCGATAATCAGATAAAGATGGTTTAATTGCTAATATCAAACTATATATTTGTACATCAAAACACTTCATCAACCTTTCCCTAATATAGCTAGCTTGATTTTTTGCTGCAGCTACTTGCATAACAAATTAAACCTAGCAATAAAATTCTATGTTTCATAAATATTTCAAATTCTAGGAAGATATTTACATACAATGCTTTCTACACTGTAACAGATGCTGAATAACCATAGAATTAAACAGTAACAAATGTTAGATAGTTATAAATTTAATGTTTTACATATAATATTCATGATTTAATAGCCAAAAAGCATTTCAGTGACACCTTATTTTGGAAGCACATAAAGAAAACTTATCAAACAAAAAATTAAAAATGAGGCTAAGGAAATCAATTTTCAAGTTGTTGGGTTAATTCTTTAATTCTTTTTCCTAAATAAATTTAATTAAGTAAATTCTGTCACTAAATTTTTATATCATTAAATACATGCCAAATAAAAACCCGGGTAAATTTATTGTTGCTCATAGTTAATGTATTTTTTTTTAAATACTTGACACACATATTAGGGTATCGGTGATGCTCAAGGGTTCATGCTTTTAACTTCAGGCAATTACCAATAACATGACGAAGCATACATTCATTAGGAATCTAGCCCGTGTACGCTGTGGGTTGGTGACATATGAAAAGCGTTTGGTGGTAGCGGATTGTCATAGCCAACTATTCCATACACAATGATACGACATAATCAGTCTGACCTTGACATGTGGTTTGACAAAATAACAACAGAAATTAATTTACGTGCGAAGATGAACGTTACCTCTTGTCCTTCTGCTTTTTCTTCCCTATAAAGTTGTGATTACAATTTTGATGAAGAATATGATACACATTGTTACTTTATGACAAATAAATGTACATGATCATCAATATCCCCCACCCCATGCCCCAGCAGATCTGTGTACTGGAAACAAGAAATCATGTTAATATCAAACACATAATGACTTTAGAGGAACTACGTTGTAGTACAAAGTGTCACAGTAGTAAAACTAAACCATACAAGTTGTGCTGTGTTTCTAGACATATAGAGGGGAAGAGTTGCTTAACACCGGCTTTGTACAATCTAATTCAGGTAAGATCAACATGAATTTTACACTTAATTGTAAATATGTACAATGTACATTAATTCATTAAATATCATGAATTCATTCTTCCTAAAAACTCATGATAGAAACATCTATTTTCACTTTTTCAATCTTACTGTCTAAGAAGCAAATTGGTATGTCTGCAACTTGAACAAATTTCCAAAAGTTAAATGCTTCTTGTATTTGCTGTGTTAAAACATCAGAATAATGTTTTTCAACCCTGGATTTAATCAATAATCAGTCATCCCTGCCTTGACTAAACCATAAATTCAAAATTCTGATTCAAAAGTGAGAAATTGAGGAAGGTAGGCATACTAAGTATTCACTGCTATAGAGGAATAAGAAGGCAAACATACTTACTTTTATGTAAGAAAACTAATATTTTCTTACTCTAATTAGACTACATCTTTTAATACATATTTCTAACAGAATAAATCTATCGTAAAATCTAAGAATCCCCTTGATGAATAAAACTTTTTGAAGAATTACGTGGTTGAATAAAATTGATCTTATTGAATATAAAGATTCTATATAATGAAATATATTCGATTAAGTCATACTACAGTGAAACAAACATGAAGAATTTTATTCCTTACAATTCTAAAGATTATTTACTCTACCACTATATGAATGAACACATTTTTTCTCAAACACAAAACTGACACCTACCTCTTGGTCTTCGTGTAGCAAGATTCTCCAGGAATCCAGCCAACATCATCAATTCCCCCTCTAAATTATCTGAAATCTCAGATATTTTTTCACTTCGCTTTTCTGTTTTGTGCATGAGCTTTCCAAGGTCGTCCACAATGATCTGGTCACGCTCGGTATACCTCTGTAACGATTGTATACATCCAATCAATTATAATTACTGTATACGAATAGTCACGCTCGGTATACCTCTGTAAAGATTGTATACATCCAATCAATTATAATTACTGTATACGTATAGTCACGCTCGGTATACCTCTGGAAAGATTGTATACATCCAATCATTTATAATTACTGTATACGTATAGTCACGCTCGGTATACCTCTGTAAAGATTGTATACATCCAATCAATTATAATTACTGTATACGTATAGTATAAATGTACCATCCTTGGATTTTTTTTTTTAAAGAAGGTGATTCAGTATGTTATTTCAATATCATTGATAAATTTTACAATCATACATTTAAATATCATCTGATGAATTATTTTTTTCAATAAGATGATAAGTTTGTTGAGCAGCACAGCTTTGTTAAGTACCAACCTCCTCCATATTTCTGTCACTTTTCCAGCTGTCTGTGAGGCAGCCTGTAACACAAAATATTTTATATCTTTACTCTCAAAATAATGCAAAATTTTGTTCTCAAACATAACATTCTTCTCACAAATACAAAAACGATTTTATAAAATTTGAAAGCCAGCCTTAGTTAGGGGTTACATCGTAATTATAATGTCACAAATTGAGTTTTACTGGTGAAGGGGATGTACCGCCACAAATGTTCAAATATAGAAGAATTATCCCCATTATAATTTAAATAAGCCAAAACCAGCAAAATATATTGTTGAGTGTTTTCTTGCAATTCTGGCGGAATTACCCAGGTACATTGACCTTTCGGGTCACGCTATTGTTTCAGACATGATGAATAATCAATTTCATGACATGGAGGGTCAATCGAGGTCATTGATGTCATTAACCATTGCCATCCGGGCTACATATGCAAATGAGAAATTTGCGGACAGTATATCGTGGTTGTAATGTACGTAGCACATTATTATGATTGACTAATCAAATGTTGTGTTACATCTCAAATGAATTAGAATGTTGCTTTACCTTTTGCTTCTGCCAGGGTATTTTGAAGCATTTCCTTCACATGTTCATCTTCATCCATTTGTTTCTGAAGTTCATCCATGTCAGCTCGATATTTGTTACATCCCTACAAAAAACAATTCTGTTTTTAAAATGGAGTAATCACATGTACGTTGTGGTATACCCACTATTCTGTAAGACAGATCCACACCGGTACCTTGTGGTAGAAATCTCCTCAACACATGGGAACACAATCTAAAATATAACTATAATAAATGTCAATAACAAACAGAGTTTTGAGTTAAAATAATCACTTTGAACAAATGGAGACTATTAGTACATGTATATCAAACTGATGTCTTCAATATATTTATCAACCATTAGTTTTTTATGATTACATAACATAAGGTAACATTCAGCTCTGGTTTCAACCATTAGGTTCCAATATTCCAATATCAATAAATTAGGCCCCAATCTTCAAAACATTTAGGGTCTAAAGTAAACGTTGGGATCTGATCAACCTTGATCCTTACATCAACTGTTGGGTCACTATAATAAATAACAATAAATAACAAATATATAGGTGCCTTATGAGGCCTATATCAAATATCAAGCTTCCTGTGGTCAGTATTAATCGTTGGGCTCTGAAGTATGGGTGCCTTGATTATGAGACCTATATCAAATATTAAGCCTCTTGTGGTCAATATTAATGGTTGGGCTCTGATATTAATCATTAGGTCCCTTTAACAAATATGGGTGCCTTATGAGGCATATATCAAACATTAAGCCTCCTGTGGTCAATATTAATGGTTGGGCTCTGATATTAACCATAAGGTCCCTTTAACAAATATGGGTGCCTTATGAGGCCTATATCAAACATTAAGCCTCTTGTGGTCAATATTAATGGTTGGGCTCTGATATTAACCATAAGGTCCCTTTAACAAATATGGGTGCCTTATGAGGCCTATATCAAACATTAAGCCTCTTGTGGTCAATATTAATGGTTGGGCTCTGATATTAACCATAAGGTCCCTTTAACAAATATGGGTGCCTTATGAGGCCTATATCAAACATTCAGCCTCATGTGGTCAATATTAATGGTTGGGCTCAGATATCATCCATTAGGTTCATAGATGAAATACTTGTGCCCTATTAGGCCTGTATCAAATATTTAGCCTCCCGTGGTCAATATTAATGGTTGGGCTCTCATGACAACCATTACAAGCCCTCTATTGGGCTTTGTAAACAAAGACGAAAACAGATCTGACCATGGTCTTATACATACATCTTCAATCTTCTTGTTCTCCTCAATTATCCTCTTCAGTTTACATCCTGCCTGATATATTTCCCTCTCCATTTTCTGTCTTTCCTCGCCGTGTTTCTTCAGCTGTTCTATGGATTCAGCTCGCTTGGTTCTTAAGGACTCCTTTAGTTTTTCCTTTAAGAAATATACTTGTGCAAAATCTATGACTACGATAACTATTCGTAACAATTCAAATTAAGCTTGAAGAATTTATTTCTGAAGAAACATTTAGATTTCAAGCTTATTCTATATTAAGTTTAGTGAATCGTTTTGCTCAAACTAATTGACATCGAGAGTGCCTTGTGGAATTCAACAGATTCAGTAAGTTTGCCTGAGGTAAATCACCAGTGTGAAATGATGAAAAAAAAACATCAATAAAAATTACTTTTGGTCCAACTAGGTTGTCCTTGGCATCTAAGGTTTTCCGTATCTGTTCATCCAGAGCGCTCTTCTTCTGGCGCATTTCTAGAAGATCAAACAGCGTTAATGTGTAACACAAAGAATATTATGCAACATTTAATTATACTTGTAAGTAAATGTTTGCCAAAATAGAGCTTAAATTTTCATCCAGTTAGTTTGAATTCTTATTAGCAGAAAAATAAAATAACATCTGAAAAAATGAAGTTTACACAATTCTAATTATACTAATTAATTCTGCTATTCTGCTAACTATTGTACTATTGTGTCTTCCATACACCTGTTACTTCAGTTTAGACACAATACTGTTACACCATATATTTTTGACACATGTTAACACATTTATCCTGTTGACTGCAAAAACTGTATCAATTAGTGGAAATGACGTCACACGGTACCTTGAAAGAGTCTGTCAAGGGCAAGTAACTTGCTACATCACATTAACGGTCTTCAAAAGGAGAGGAAATTTTTATATCGCAACAACGGTCTTAAAAGCGCGATTAATTTCTAAATCACATCAATGCATGAGTTACTGTTCCTCGTTGGAACTTTTCTCTGATATTGACAACAATGCAAGATCCAAATATTTTGGTCCCATGCCAGACAAAGAAATAAGCAACAAGTGATTTAAAGCTGAACTTGTACAATATCCTCACGGCAGATAAGGTGGCGACAAGAACTTGATAACATACTTCAGCGAAACACAGCAGGATAATACAAGTTTGAAGCCTTCGAAAAGCCAAGGTTGAATGAGATACTGATGCCTCGGGGTCATTTTTATAGAATTAAATATAAATGAAGAGTTGCATGTCAACAGGATAATTTTTTACACAGTACTATACTTAAGTCACCCAATAAGGAGAAATATTGGACTGGTACAACTTTGTTACAGACCCAATATCTGTCTATATCTGGTCACTGTGTTACTAATATTGTGTAAGGCAACATTAAGCAGGAGGACATGACTTGTATGTGATGCGCAGGCCATCCCCAATCTGTGATGCAAAATTACCCATACCATTTAACAAATTTCTGGGTGTTTTGCAAATACTTTCTTACGTTCTGAGAGTTTTCTCTTCTGTTACAAAAGCATTAAATTGACAAATCTATTAGCACATTGTAACATTAATTGACACACCAGCCCTAAACTTTACATAATACTACTGTTCATGATTTGTAGAACTAGAATATAGAGCTAGCAACTAAACAACATTCTATCTTTTCAAGGTCAAGTTGGAAATTTAGTTGTAGTTGTGTGAACTTGATCTATTAGATAATTTCTAAATATTTTCGTCATGTCAGTAAGCATGGACTGATTTAGATAAAATATTTCAGTACATTTTTACTGATGAATGATTATCCAAATATTTTAGAACATTATAGGGACCTTATATGTAAATATATCTGTATTAAATCAACAATGATCAATATTGGGAGAAAAACACAGGGCTCCTCCTATGACTGAAAACTTTGGTGCAAAAATACTAAAATCTACTGCATAAAAGAATAAACATTGCAACAAAATTTGAGTGTTACAGTTCACTGTGGTACCTCTGTGACAAAGAGGGAAGTTACTGAAGAAAGCATTTGTGTATTAGACAGCAGTGAACTATTTAAATCATCAAATCAACAAGACACACGCGTAAACACATCATGCAAATAACAAAAACTCTCTGAGAACGTTTTGCCGTGAAATTTGGCCGTGCACAGTCACAAATGTGACAGGGAACAGAAAGCGTTTCACATACTAGCTATGCCCCTTTTCAGTTCATCATAAGCATTAGTTCTCTCCTCAAACAATTTCTCTAAATCGTGAAATATTGGTGTCTCTTCTTCAATTTTCTTCTTCTTCTCCACGATCGCACGTTCATACTGCACAATTTGCATCTGTGAATAGAAAGACATGATGATAAAAAATATTTCTGTTTATTTATTTCAATGAATTAGAGAGTTCTTACACTTATATTTATAAAGAATATAATACCTATCTCGAGTAAGTCAATTACTTTTGAAATAAAAAATCTGCATCCCTAAAATATGATCTAAATAGATATAATTTTGTTTCACACAATTCTTGTTATATTCAGTTAATAGCCAAATCTTTGTTTCTGGTCATTTTTGCCTACATTAATGATGTTTTTACTGTACCACAAAATTGCAGATTTTAATTTGGAGTTATCTGAAATTTAATTATACATATACATAATGTAATTAACAATGCAATAACATTTTATCAAAAGACCATACATTAAACAGTACATACCTAGATTAATGTGAAGTTCTTTTAGTTTTTCATTTTTCTTGTTTTCAGAATATTTTCATTTGATGTTTATCATTGATGCACTCACAGAACAATATGTGCAACTTTGTATTTTTTCTGTTATATATTATGAAGATGATGAAAATGTACATCTAATAAAATATAACTAAAAATAGCCTGATGTCCCAATTGTTTACCTCCATCAATTCTATGCGGCCCTGCATACTGGTGTACATGGTTTCGTAATGACCTTGAACTTCGCTAAGGTCACTGGACAGGTTGGAGATCTCCTGCTCATCCAGCTTCAGTTCCCGTTGTAAATTGGCTCCCTGGTAGGTTGACAAATCAAACATTGTTATTCAGATTTTATTTTTGTATTCAATATATGTACTAAAAAGTATTATAAACTGAATATAGATCTGATGTGACAACATTATGGTACTTGTGGCCACCACAGCTCATGGTTCTGAAAAACCTATATATATTGCATACTGGAAAATTTTGACTACAGTTTAATTGTTCTTTTTTGCTCTCCCTATTAGGGCTTGTCAAGCTGAGAAAAATGAAGAAGTACTGGAAAAATCAATTGCATAGTTCATTTTAAAAAGTCTTAAAAACAGGGAAAACCATTTGGTGGCATCAATTAGAAAAAAGGGGGAAAAAAAATAAAAAATTGTACGTTTTTTTTTATCTTATACTTTATAATCCAATTGCATGATCTGATCATCCAGATTTTTATTATTTGTACTGATAATTCAGACTAAAATTGATTGTCCAGAACATTCATTTTTCTTACATTCATATTTAAAAATAATTGACGTTATTCCTGTAATTATTGTTTATTTTCTGAGTATTTTTAGAAGGCCTAGATTAACAATTGGATACAAGTTTTCACTCGGATGATAAGTGTCCCTCACCTCATTCGAGAGATCGACATGGCGGACTTTGCCCTCCTGTATCTTCTTGTTCATGTCTGATAGATACTTCTGGTTGTCCACCTTAAAGTCCTCCACTTTCTTCGACACACTGTTTTTCTCGTCTTGCACCTGGATTCTACAGTCAGAATTTAAGTTACAGCTTTACCTCACAATCTCACACTGCCAATAAAATCTTACGATTAACTTGGATTCTGAATTCCTCAAAAGCATCAGTATTCCTTTACTTTTATATCAGAACAGTTTTACATGTTTAAAGATAATCTACCTCATGGGTCAAACTAGCACATCAGATATCAAACATTTCTTAAAATGTTTCATTATGTTGGGTGTTTTTCCTTCAAATTCCACAAAATCAATTGAACTTCAACCAATGAAATATATTTCACATGTATTTATTTAGCATCTGTAAATGACATAATGAAAGCTATAATTTCAGTTAATTACATGTATTATCAAAGTTTAATACTTTAAAATTATATACAGGACTAATATAATGCCAGGATAATCAAATAATGTAATATGTTTTCTATATAATGAATCACCATCTGATATAATATATCATTATCACAAACTTCTAAGTAATTCAGATATAACATTTAATCTGCCCTTGACTAATAATGAGATTATTTATAATCTGTCGTTTATTGTTTGTTTTATCAGGTACAAATATTTTTCATCTCGTGATTTGTATTGTTTTTGTAAATATAAGTTTACCCTTTTGAGTTATACTGTAATGTATATTGTATATCTTAATAAAGTTTAAATGTTATAGTAAAACAACTGTGACACCAGAATATATATGGTTTATAGAATAGACACAAACTGTCCAGCATGCTGTTAGAGACACATATATATGTGGTACAGATTTGTTTTAATTTTACTTTTCTCTCTGATTCTGTGTAAATCTATTGAAAACTTCATTAGAACATGCATCTTAATACATACACTATGTAGTTTAAAAACAACTGGATGCAAATCAAGTATCACTATATCTTGTTGGAATGTTGAAAACCCAAATAATATTGAACACCTTCAACCTCAGTATTACACTGCAATCTATTTACCTTGGTAAGCACAGAATTATAAAACATAAAGAGATTTAATCTGGATTTGTCCAGTGTTCATGCAAGTATGAACGGGAAACATTTACTTACACGCCATCATTATAATGAGTGGAAGTAGCATAACACAACAGAAGTGTTTGACTTATTTCAACGTTACAGCTGGTACATACCCAAAGGATGAGATGATCAAGTGATATTTTCTCATAGAAAAAACCAGAAGGTATTTCTAGCTTTGTACATCATCTCAGAGCTACATTATAACTACAGAGACTGATCAAACATACACAACATGTCTGAGGCTACACACCACCTTATTGTCTACATATCTGTTTATATATACAGTATCATCACTGATCAAACATACACAACATGTCTGAAGCTACACACCATCTTATTGTCTACATATCTGTTTATTTATACAGTATCATCACTGATCAAACATACACAACATGTCTGAGGCTACACACCACCTTATTGTCTACATATGTTTATATCTACAGTATCATTACTGATCAAACATACACAACATGTCTTAGGCTACACACCACCTTATTGTCTACATATCTGCTTATATCTACAGTATCATCACTGATCAAACATACACAACATGTCTGAAGCAACACCATCTTATTGTCTACATATGTTTATATCTACAGTATCATTACTGATCAAACATACACAACATGTCTGAAGCTACACACCACCTTATTGTCTACATATCTGTTTATATATCTACAGTATCATCACTGATCAAACATACACAACATGTCTGAAGCTACACACCACCTAATTGTCTACATATCTGATTATATATACAGTATCATCTTTGTTATTCACTGCATAATATCAATTCAAGAAACTAAGGTTAACACCTCAACACTAGATTACAATATGATAACTCATACACTCATCCTTACCTGCAACAAGATTCAATACATCAAACAATCATTAAAATGAATTAACGGTATACACATTATAAAAGTAAACCCACTCTCTATTATCAATCTGATTACTGCAGAGTATCTGTCCACCATTAGGAATCCGTTAGTGATATTAATAGCACTCAGATCAAGTCATGTGACATCTTATAATTACCCATCCTCATCGGTGTCATCTTCGTCAGAGGAGGAGGATAACGGGGGCCGTGGGGGAACATTTATTAGGGGAGGGGCAGCTGGGGGTCCATAATTGGGTTCATTTCCAGTCTGTAGGTAGTAACTGGACAATTTGTTCTTTTTTGGTTTCTTTGGTTTAGGGGGTGGGGGAGGAGGAGGGGACGGAGAGGGTGCAGGGGGTTCTACCACTGGCACAGGTTCTGGGGGAGGGCTAAGTGAAAGAAATGTGCAAAACAGAAAAAGATGAAATCATTTTATCTGTGTATTAATTTATTCAACAAGGTGTAGAAGAAATTATGTCAACACCAAATTCCCAGTAACATATGATAATGTTGTACTTAACTCAGAGTTGTCACACTGTTACAGCTGTCAGTGACTATTCATGGAGTAGTTACATCAAAAATTACATAGAATTCTAGGTAAACTCAGTACATGTAGTAGAAAAGAAAAAAAAAATGATAATTTCAGATAAAAAAAATATATGTGAATCAATTTAATACATATTATTTATATTCATAATTTACTACATGACTCTAGTAAAATAAAATACCAGGTACAACATATACAAGATCAAACATCCACATAGTGTTGTTGGGTATTTGGTGGTTCTAGTAAATCAACAACATGAAAAGTTAAATTATCTATAAAAAAAAAGGAGTGAAACATACATAACAAAAGGTGAATGTTAAAATAAAAAAGGGAGAAATTAAGGAAATGAGACAGCTTGATATGAATGTGCTACTCTTCATATAGTTCTATCAATTGACTGTTGACTGTAGTTAGGAATCCCACTTCCTGACACTGATTTATAAAACTCATTCTCAACCTCCCATTTCAGTCTATTGTATCTAGTTTATTCTTCTGGGAATTACCGAAACATTCAAAAACAGGATTTTTCTACTTTCAAGATCAATTTCAAGATCTGTCATTTAAAGATATCTCCCCTTTTTTCCATACTTCCCATACGTCACCAAAAGGTGCAATTACATGTATGTCAACAAACTAACGAACATTTTTCTCAAATACTCTCACCGTTAGACTGTATCTTATGTGCAAATCACTTCAGAATCATATCTACAATCATCAATTAAGAGTTGAAATATGTAAAGCAATGTTAAAGGAGTATTTAAAGATATATATTGGACTAATATACATATTTTCTAAAATAGGTTCCACTCCTCTGCTCATGGTTGGGACATTACCTTTATTTTTTACAAAACTGAATCTCTTATTTTATTTAAAATATGTCTGTCCCTATTTAGGAATAGTCTTTGTTTAGATTTCCCCTATTTCCCCAATCTGGCCTATCTCTCTGGGTCCAGGCGAGCAGTTAACACCCCTTGTAGCAACTATGGACCAGAAGACAAACGATTCCACAAACTGCAACAGCAAAAGCTCTTTTGGTCCTCAAACAATTTATCTTACAATGAAAGGCATCTATATATGTGAAAAATACCAAAATATTATTTCTGCAAATCAATTCACATTTTCTATTAAACAATATTTTATGCATTTGAAACAGGAGGAGAAAAGTTAAAGGAATACAAACTACAAAAAAGTATAAACATGGGAAAATACCAGTAAGCACCAAGAAACAACAAGAGTTTTAACTAACTGACATCCTACCTTTCCTTGCGTTCCTTGCCCAGCTGTTCCCGATAGTCCTCTATCTGCTTGTTGAGTTGAGCCATCACTGCCCTGAAATAAACATTGAAATACTGCATAGCAATTGTTGTTCTTTTGAGAAAATCTGATGTGTATAGTATTAGCATATTCCAGGCTGCTTATTTCTATGTATTTCATTATTTTTATAAGGACGTGATTTGTCTGGAAGTATATCTCACTTACCTGTGGGACTCATCTAGGTTCTCTATCTGGTCGTGCATTTCAACGTTTTCTGCTTGCATCCTACCCATCTCCTCAGCCTTCATGGCCAGTGCTCGCTTCTCTGCCTGCAGCCTGAGTATACACATTATGTAAATCAGAGCTAGTACAAACATAAAGTGTTAATTCAGTCAACTGTGTATAGGGTGTGCTTTGGTTACTCAATGGATTTTGAATTTTGATAACACCAGAACAAAATTAAGATTCACTTTTGGTTGCGTTAGATGTAAAGATGGTTTTCATGTCTAGCACTGGGCTTCACAAAAGTACCACATCTAACTTATTCATAATGTATTTCACATATAAACATGTGATGTTGATACAGATGTAGACAATCTAGCACTGGGCTTCACAAAAGTACCACATCTAACTTATTCATAATGTATTTCACATATAAACATGTGACGTTGATACAGATGTAGACAATCTAGCACTGGGCTTCACAAAAGTACCACATCTAACTTATTCATAATGTATTTCACATATAAACATGTGACGTTGATACAGATGTAGACAATCTAGCACTGGGCTTCACAAAAGTACCACATCTAACTTATTCATAATGTATTTCACATATAAACATGTGATGTTGATACAGATGTAGACAATCTAGCACTGGGCTTCACAAAAGTACCACATCTAACTTATTCATAATGTATTTCACATATAAACATGTGATGTTGATACAGATGTAGACAATCTAGCACTGGGCTTCACAAAAGTACCACATCTAACTTATTCATAATGTATTTCACATATAAACATGTGATGTTGATACAGATGTAGACAATCTAGCACTGGGCTTCACAAAAGTACCACATCTAACTTATTCATAATGTATTTCACATATAAACATGTGATGTTGATACAGATGTAGACAATCTAGCACTGGGCTTCACAAAAGTACCACATCTAACTTATTCATAATGTATTTCACATATAAACATGTGATGTTGATACAGATGTAGACAATCTAGCACTGGGCTTCACAAAAGTACCACATCTAACTTATTAATAATGTATTTCACATATAAACATGTGATGTTGATACAGATGTAGACAATCTAGCACTGGGCTTCACAAAAGTACCACATCTAACTTATTCATAATGTATTTCACATATAAACATGTGATGTTGATACAGATGTAGACAATCTAGCACTGGGCTTCACAAAAGTACCACATCTAACTTATTCATAATGTATTTCACATATAAACATGTGATGTTGATACAGATGTAGACAATCTAGCACTGGGCTTCACAAAAGTACCACATCTAACTTATTCATAATGTATTTCACATATAAACATGTGATGTTGATACAGATGTAGACAATCTAGCACTGGGCTTCACAAAAGTACCACATCTAACTTATTAATAATGTATTTCACATATAAACATGTGATGTTGATACAGATGTAGACAATCTAGCACTGGGCTTCACAAAAGTACCACATCTAACTTATTCATAATGTATTTCACATATAACTATGTGATGTTGATACAGATGTAGACAATCTAGCACTGGGCTTCACAAAAGTACCACATCTAACTTATTAATAATGTATTTCACATATAAACATGTGATGTTGATACAGATGTAGACAATAGATAATTTAACCCAGGGCTACCTGGAGATTCATAATATACATTTTGTTATAATGTACATTTATCTCAAGTCCCTCTTTGAGGTCTATTACAAGGTTTCCTGACTAGTAGTGAATCGAAATTGTGCTTATAATTACTTTGATATACACTGTACACATATGTACTCAAACTTAATTGATAAACATTGCACACATAGGTACTCAAATTTTATTGATAAACAATGTATTTATATGTACTCAAACTTAATTGATAAACACTGCACACCTAGGTACTCAAACTTAATTGATAAACAATGTATTTATATGTACTCAAATTTAATTGATAAACACTGTATTTATATGTACTCAAACTTAATTGATATACACTGTACTTCAATATATGTACTCAAGTTATTATACACTCCATGTACTTTCACTGATATATGATAGTTGTATAATACTTACTCATCGTTTAGGTCAGAGACATTTTCAGCATCTACCTGTCTTACTTTCATCTTTTGTTCCAGATCTGAAAGTTAACACACAATATCTCAAGTTAACTTTGTGTATAGTATAAAACCTGTGCACAGCTTAACCTAGATCCTGTACACAACTTAACCTAGATGCTGTACACAGCTTAACCTAGATCCTGTACACAGCTATCCTGTACACAACTTAACCTAGATGCTGTACACAACTTAACCTCGATCCTGTACACAGCTTAACCTATCCTGTACACAGCTTAACCTAGATCCTGTACACAGCTTAACTTAGATCCTGTTCACAGCTTAACCTATCCTGTACACAGCTGAACCTAGATCCTGTACACAGCTTAACCTGTCCTGTACACAGCTTAACCTAGATCCTGTACACAGCTTAACCCCGATCCTGTACACAGCTTAACCTCGATCCTGCACACAGCTTAACCTCCATCCTGTACACAGCTTAACCTAGATCTTGTACACAGCTTAACCTAGATCCTGTACACAGCTTAACTTAGATCCTGTTCACAGCTTAACCTATCCTGTACACAGCTCAACCTAGATCCTGTACACAGCTTAACCTAGATCTTGTACACAGCTTAACCTAGATCCTGTACACAGCTTAACTTAGATCCTGTACACAGCTTAACCTATACTGTACACAGCTTAACCTAGATCCTGTACACAGCTATCCTGTACACAACTTAACCTAGATGGTGTACACAACTTAACCTCGATCCTGTACACAGCTTAACCTATCCTGGACACAGCTTAACCTAGATCCTGTACACAGCTTAACTTAGATCCTGTTCACAGCTTACCCTATCCTGTACACAGCTGAACCTAGATCCTGTACACAGCTTAACCTATCCTGTACACAGCTCAACCTAGATCCTGTACACAGCTTAACCTAGATCTTGTACACAGCTTAACCTAGATCCTGTACACAGCTTAACCTAGATCTTGTACACAGCTTAACCTAGATCCTGTACACAGCTTAACCTAGATCCTGTACACAATGTCATGTTCAGACCTATTTGTCTTGCATTTACTGCATACTGCATCTAAGCTGATCATTGACTTGTATTGAAGCCTACAATTAAGTCTACAACATCAAACCTTACCTAAATGTAATTCCATCTTCAGTCCTTGTAGCCTCATACTCTTCTCTTCCTCCCTCTCACTTTCATACTTCATCTATTAAATCAATATTACATGTGATATTAATTATTACAATACAGGAGACAGGGCCCCACAATAGATACTTTAGTAACACTAGAGTATTATACTTATATTTACTGTATAACACTAGAGTATTATACTTATATTTACTGTATAACACTAGAGTACTATACTTATATTTACTGTATAACACTAGAGAATTATACTTATATTTACTGTATAACACTTATATGTTGTGGAGCAACCAAGAAAACCATGAACATTTATACACAACAAGCATTTTATGTTATATAGTAATTTGTTTCCCTTCCGCTAAAAAAAAAAGTTAGGACTTTTACAGCATGTACAAATGTAAATTGATCTAGCAAATCTACTCCAGAAACAGCGAAAGTTTGACCCTGTAATGTTAAAGTGCCATAGAGTATTTAACTATAGAGAAATGGATAAAATACAACACTACTACGACTGTTAAGGCTCTTATCTGATTTTTCTTCCTTTCTAATATAACATTACAAAAATAAAATGTCATTTACAAGAAGAGCAATATTGATTTAGTATGAAAGTATGTGTGAAATTGGAATTCGATCATTATGTATAATGAAATGTATATGTTATTGTAATATTAAAAATACCTTGAAAATAAAAAAAAAATAAAAAAAAGACTGTCAAGGTTACTAGTGATGATCAAAAACATACAAAAATTTCAGTTTTGGGAAAAAACTTACCTTTTCTACTTTTTTCCGTAGCTGCTTTTCATTATCTTCAAAATCTTGTTGAGATTGCATATCTTCCTTGATTATTGCATTGCTGTAGGAAAATGAATACATCTCAACACATGAATTTCACAGTACGTACATATCTAACTGTTAAACAAAAACATCACACAAAATATAATAGCTTCAGGTGCAATATATATACATGTATTTCCCAACAATGTTAAAAGAAAAAAATATCTACACAGGTTTGAAATTTGGTTGTCAAGGATAAATAAAAAGTGTTAAGTATTGGCTGCAGTCATTTTTAAAACTGGCAAAATTTGGAATAGGAAATTAAACAAGTATTTTGCCAATTCTACAACATATGTATGATTTTGTTATTCCCTTACCCCTTATTACGAAGTTCACCGTTTTGCTTGAGTTGTTTCTGGTGTTGAGCATTCAATGCCCTCTCCTGACCTTCCAATTTAGCTTTTGATGTCTCATATTTTCTAAGATCCTAAAAATATAAGTTATTTAAAAAAATTAAAAGAAAACTTGTGCATCAAATATCCATATTATTACTGCAAAATGTACGTTCAGAGTGCGGTTTATTACCAATTCTTTATAAATCAGTATTTATTAAATGAAGTAAATATGTTTTAAATAACACGAAATATGTAATAAAACTGCTATTTTTTCAACTTTCATAATCTTGAAGAGAAACAGACGAATATTTGTAATATCAATTTGTCACAGTATATATACATATATATATGTAATTGACATTTTCTTTATTTAGTTAGTCAGAATCCAGCACAGATAAAAAACATACCCTTCTTATTGATTCAAGTTTCCCCTCACTCTCCAGTAACTGTTCATGGACAACATCAAGTTCCCTAAAAAGTGATTGTTGAAATAAGATTTTATTTTGGATAAATTAAATACATGCAATAAATTAAAGGAAATCGAACATGTACCTGGATAAGAACATTATGCAGCATGGCTATGTAACACCAGTCCTAAATCACTGTTACTTAACATTTTCTTCAGGTTAGTAGGTAAAGATTGTATACAGGTTTATATGGTAAAGATTGTATACAGGTTTATATGGCACATTCAGCTGTTTATTTGTGACATTTTGATGAATCTATGTATTTATTTTTTTGTGTAATAACCCACGTTTATGACCTATCAGCCCTGTGATTGGTTGCAAGTTTCACTTGTTACGTCACACTTAGGACAAGTACGTCACGTCACAGACTTACACACTGGAGTCAAAAAGGCGGCTTTTCACATTTCAAGGTTGCATGAAATTTTTCGTTTTACACAAATAAATGCCACAAATCTTTATTATGTGATAAAAGGGATATTACACTCATTTTCATTTCATATGAAATTTATGAAACTTGTCACGAATTTTTCATTTTAGCTCACTAGAGGCTGTTTAATCGAAAAATTCTTAGACTCCTTTCATAAGTCTCATATGAAATGAAAACTCATGCATGATCCTATATATATTTTTATACTCTGTCACCTTCATCAGATGAAAATACTGTATACGGATACTTAACATACCTATATCCAATGTTAGTGCATGAGTCGGTAGATCTACAGAGAAGCTATATAATATCTGTAAAGTGTTCAGATCTGAATATTTCAATGTACTTACTTCTTCTTTACAATATTCAGTACTCTTTGGTCTTTTGTTTTTTCTGTCGTGTCAGTCTGTGAATTATAGAGGCACCAATGTAAGGTTCTTGACAAATATCTTTGTGTAATAACACAAACATTTTGACATGTATTTTAGTTACTGAATTTTATTCTCCAACACAAAAACTTTAACAATCACATAACATTTATTCCATTGATAATGATATGCATTAAAGGATCTATCATTGTATCCGCTACTAGCAGTACGTTTTATCAACTATCAGCAGCATGAAACATCAGATACTAGCAGTATGTTTTATCAACTATCAGCAGCATGAAACATCAGATACTAGCAGTATGTTCCTTGAACTATTGGTAGTATTGATCAGCAGCTACGTATACCGGCACAATGTATCATCAGCTACGTATACCGGCACAATGTATCATGAGCTAGGTATACCGGCACAATGTATCATCAGCTGCGTATACCGGCACAATGTATAATCAGCTACGAATACCGGCACAATGTATCATCAGCTGCGTATACCGGCACAATGTATCATCAGCTGCGTATACCGGCACAATGTATAATCAGCTACGGATACCAGCACAATGGATAATGAGCTACGTATACCGGCACAACGTATCATCAGCTACGTATACCGGAACAATGTATAATCAGCTACGTATACCAGCACAATGTATCATCAGCTACGTATACCAGCACAATGTATCATCAGCTACGAATACCGGCACAATGTATCATCAGCTATGTATACCAGCACAATGTATCATCAGCTATGTATACCAGCACAATGCATCATCAGCTACGTATACCGGCAAAATGTATCATCAGCTACGTATACCAGCACAATGTATCATCAGCTATGTATACCAGCACAATGCATCATCAGCTACGTATACCGGCAAAATGTATCATCAGCTACGTATACCAGCACACTGTATCATCAGCTATGTATACCAGCACAATGCATCATCAGCTACGTATACCGGCAAAATGTATCATCAGCTACGTATACCGGGACAATGTATCATCAGCTACGTATGCCGGCACAATGTATCATCAGCTACATATACCGGCACAATGTATCATCAGCTGCGTATACCGGCACAATGTATCATCAGATACGTATACCGGCACAATGTATAATCAGCTACGGATACCAGCACAATGTATAATGAGCTACGTATACGGGCACAATGTATAATGAGCTACGTATACCGGCACAATGTATAATCAGCTACGGATACCAGCACAATGTATAATGAGCTACGTATACCGGCACAATGTATCATCAGCTACGTATACCGGCACAATGTATAATGAGCTACGTATACCGGCACAATGTATCATTAGCTACGTATACCGGCACAATGTATAATGAACTACTAGTAGTATGTTTATTCAAATACAAGCAGTATGTATTATCAGCTATACTAGCAGTATGCATATTTATAAACAAGCAGTACATATTATCAGCTACTAGCAGTATGTTTCACCAGCTCCTAGTAGTATATATCATCAGCTACTAGCACAATGTATTACCAGCCACTATATATATAGCTAGCAGTCTGTTACATCAGCTATAATTAGCACATTGTATTATCAGCCACTAGCAGTATGTATCATCAGTTACTAGCAGTATGTTACATCAGCTACTAGCAGTATGTTACAACAGCCACTAGCAGTATGTATCATCAGCTACTAGCAGATTGTTTCAGCAGCTACTAGCAGTATATATGATCACCTATTAGAAGTTTGTATCATCAGCTGTTTGTACAATTAGCTCAGCAGTACATGTTTGTATCATCAGCTATCATTCAGGTTCTCAGAGTTTCAATGAAGCCAATAAACTATGTTTAACAAAGGACACTCACCACAGCCCTCTTCAGTTTCTTTTTTTCTGTCCGTGCTTCTTTCCGCTCAACAATCAGGTCCTCTTTTAGTTGTAAGATTCCATCTTCAAGGTCAACAATCTAAAACATACCATAAACATTGAAATAGCCGACCCCATTTCATGGTGAGGTTATTAACAAAGATCTATTACATTCTGTAGTTAACCATTTAAACTTATATTGAACCTGTTCTTTAATAATGTTCTTTTTTAAATACATGTACAATGTATTACAAATTTGATACTGTATTTATATAATGATGAGTGAAATATGCAGGAATACATGCAGGTTTAAGATACTCACATCCTGATTTGTCTGTCTTACTTTATCCCTTGTTTCATTCAGGGTAATCTGCAAGCTTTCAAAAAAAAATAAAAAACATGTCAATTTTGTTCATAGAGTTTGGTAACATGCCATGTAAAAACACAAAAAAGGTAACAATTACATACATGATATCTGGTCAGATACCATATAATTACAAAGAGACACATGATATATCATTTTTATGTTTAATAACCATAATTATTGTATCTTGCATATTGCTTAGGTGAACTAAATACATACCTGGCCTTTTCAGCCATGCGTTGGTTGAGCTGTGAAATAATTTGCTCATGTTGTTCTTTGACAAGCTCTCTCTGTGGACTGAAAGAGAAAGTATGTGATTAAATTTGAGCATTTTATGATCATTCATAAAATACTGAATGTCATGATCAAAATGTATAAACAGTACATGTATATTGGTAGCATGATGCCCAAAACAAAAACATTAACTTCTCTTAATTAAAAGTATGCAACATAAAATGTGCACCTTGTGTGATAAATTTTGAACATTCTCTACATAAAAAAAGTCAAAACAAAAATATCTGTATGTATACATCTGTATTACAATGTAGAAATGTCCTTAAATATAAATTTGTGGTACAATGTATCTTGTCTTTGGATAATCTAAAGTAGATATTTACATTATAAAGGTATTCTAATATATGAACAGTACCTGTACACATTCTTATAGCAAGCTAATAGCAGTCAACTCACTGTAAAACGGCATTTTGTTTATCCAGCTCTTGCTGTCTTTTTTCAAGATACACTGTATTGTGGCTGATTCCATCCAGTTGTTCCTGTAATTTTTGCAGGACATCAGCATTGGACTGTCTGGCAGACTCAACAGCAGCTACAAATCAGAGCAAAATATATATATATCAATTATAAACCACAAAATAAGATCCCTGTTTGACTTCTTAATTGAAATAAGTTTCAAAAAGACATCTATAGATCAATGTTATTTCATCACTTTTATTAAAGACTATTTCAATGTTATACAGGCTTGTATTCAATCATAATCAATACAAATTAGGATTATTCCAGATTTCAAGGAGTGAAAGTGGTAAGGGGCAGGCAAGGAATTTCTGGATATTTATTTCTGGAATATTCCTTGTTTTATCAGCTTCAGATTTATCTTGTATTCCCTTCTCAACTATATAATTACACAACATTATATTTTACCTTTGATTTCCTTTTTAATTTCTCCTGGCAAGAACTGAAGTTTGTGACGTAGAATACTGGCATGAATTGTTTCTGTTTCAAGTTTTTCATGGACTCGAAATCTTTCCCCTTCCTGAGAAATGAAATGAATGGATAAATAACAAAAAACTGTTGATATTATTTCTTACATATATGGCTTCCTAATATATATGTTCATTATTGTATTGCAAAAATATATTTTTCAATTTAGAAGAATCTTTTCATTAGAAAGAGGCCAAAGGTCAATTTTTCTCTTTTTATTTTACTGAATCAATATTGTACTCTTACAATATTTATAATGATAATGATAATGGTAACAAAAACTGTTTTTCGTACAACCTTAACAATTATTCAGTACATATTAAATAAAGGAAACCTTACTAATGCCTGAATTGCTTCTATGGTTCCATCTATGTTTTGTACATCTTTCTCGATGAATCCAAAATCCTCACTCCTCATGCGGTCAGCTAAAGATGGAATACATATTAACTTGAATATAGTTGCATTCAAATGTGGTTTAAGTGGATAAAAAAACATCTGAAGACTAGAATATGTTAGCATGTATAACATATATATGTTCCTGCTCCCACTTTGACAGTAAAAGCAATGTCTAGCATAAGTCCATTAACAGAAAATATTTTTAACTTAAAAGTATATGTGATTTTGATATATTGGTACGTACCTTCATATTACGTTTGATGACCTTTGGGCTTTAGATATTAGGATAATAGAGCAAAATGCAAAGTCTCAATAAGATATCACACAGACAGACTATTCGACAGAAACGGCACTTAACCAATATTCACTCAGTGTCCAATAACATGTTGCAAGGTACAAAAACATGCAAGTTTATATGCTTAAACTACCATTTCATCAATTAGTTGTGACGATTTCTGAAATACCGCTAAAGTAGACTGTTTCTGTCTATTTGAGTATTTCTCCCTTCTCTTGGAAATGCCTTTCTGTGATATTATAGTACATGTTCAACATATCCTATATTTAGCACATACATTAGCACATATATTGTAATACATCCCATTTTACTCATCACCACAGGTCCTAGTTACAGCGTCTTGAACAACTGCGATCAGAAAATGGTAAAACGTTTTAAACCTTATAAAAACTCCTATGGGAAGAATGAAAAATAGACAATGCTCTGTTCAGCTTATACATGTAAGTCTACGTTTATCTGGATACTGTGGTCCTAAAAGCTACTAATTCCTGTAGGAACTCTATCTAAATCAGAGATTTATAACAATAGAAACTCTATCGTTATATTTTTCTCTGATTTAGATACAGTAGATCTACAGTACCTAGAGTTCCTACAGGAATTAAAAAGCTACATACTGAACTATATTTTCTTCTTCTTCCATACCCTCTTTTCACGCAGGAAATTGAAATAGGAACACCTATACATTACCCAATTCCAAAAGCCGTTCTACTGCGGCATTGACCTCCGTGCTTTCTTTTTTAGCAGACATGACTGGTGATTTGATTCCTGCTATTGACAGTTCATCGACAGGTTCTCTACGCCATTTTGAAACAAACTTGTTGTCAATCGTTTTCAACCTCCGAGTAGAAAGAGTACTGAAACAAGGGAGGTAATTAGCCAAACCAATTTTGATTCATTGTATAATGATATTGATGATCAAGACTTTTGTAAAAATTCCTTAAGCATGAGAATGTATCATTTTGAAGTTAGAAATGTAACATCATACATCATCTAAGAAAATACAAGAAATTATTCATAGAAATAGTAGAACTTATACACCTATAAGTGCATCGTTATGCTTCCATTATAATCATCGACGTACCGTGCAATATTATACACATATCGGTGTAACCAAAAAATAACATCAGTTTAAAAAGACCCTTTCAATTAATTACAATTATGTTCAGAATATTCATCAAGTTTAATATAATGAAATAACTATTAATAACTTTTAAAAGATAAGATCTGTCATGTAGAAGGTCTCATGACAGAAATGTACACCCTTCAGCTGTGAATTAAGGAATACGGTATTTTATTTTAGAATATTTACATCAATCACGGAATTAGATTAGAGCCCGTGCATCAACAGAGATATATAATACGTCGCATGTGTCTCTGTAACAAATATTATAACCCCAATACTGTGCAAGGATAATACTGACATTTCCAAAACAATCCAAAGCAATCTGAACACAACACTGTGAAGTTGAATGAAGGGCTGCCATGGAGCTTGACAAATGCATATTAAAGATACCAACAAAATGCAACTGAAGTTGCATACCAAAACATCTATACTGAATCATGGATGTTAACACAAGCAGGTGCCGTCGGAACATGTCATTCTTTATACGAACAATTAAAAGGACCTTCACCTTTGCACCACTTGACCGTGTTTGATGCTATATCTTTAGACAAAGCAGTATATCGTTTGCTACTTTTAACATTTATCAACATCTAAAATGATACTTTCATGTTATACACCGTAATATATTAGTATGGAGGTTTTTATATTTTCAGAATTTTAAATGATTTCTTCTTCTTTGATTACACCGTGAGGTCCATAGAGAATATCAGTGATATTAACATGGTAGGCCTATAGGTCAAGGGGACGCATTATCACAATCAAATACTCAGATGTTTTTAAGATAGCCAGCTGGACCTAATATTTTGACCTGTTTTACTGATTCACTGGAATTCGGCTATGTTATTCCTAGACAGTGGTTTATTCATTAAAAAAATAACATCGCACGACGTGACGTCAGTTTCTTAGCAATCTAATTCCGTGTTTTAACTTAGCGCTTAAAAAGACCGTATGTTTCCCCGGAACTTTGAACGGTGTTACAATTGTTCATGCAACACCGCCTGCTTACTACATTATCAGAACGCTATAAATCAGTGTGTTTACACGTATCCGAGGAGAGTTTTGCATATTATAACTTAAACTAGGCCTTTCGTAATGTCGGATCGTCCAAATGCGGTGGCTCTAGCCGCGACACTGGCAGGTGTCGCTGTCTTTAAATACACATGTTTAGTTTGGATGTCCAACAAGTATCGAACCAGGCCATTCGAGAAGGTCGGAACTATTTCGGAGCTGTACGTGTTCCCGACCAAATCGCTCGGGGGGCTTCGAGTCGACTCGGCTGATTGCACACCCACTGGCTTAACATTTCAAGGTGTCACAGACAGGTGAGTCATTGAACTTATGTTAGAAGATACAGAGTTATTAAGGCATTATCACTCTTTGTTAAAAAGATGCACTCTTTTTAAAGTATTATCAACATGAATTTCGTTAGAAGATGGACGGTTATTGAAGTATGTAATGATATTTATATCTTCCTTTACGCCCTATAATATATTTATCAAATGCATGTTGACAATGCCAATCAGTAAATTCTCTCATGATATACATGTACATGCGACCTGAGCACGAAGTCGTGTTCTATCTATATGTTATACTCAACAGAGACCAAAATGGCCTGAGAATGATTTACGGAATGATTTACAGCTATAGCCTATATATGATCATACAGAGGATGATCATTGGGAGTGTCGTTTTTACCGAAAGTCGACCTAAACCCCTAAACATGTAAAATTACTCTGAACACCAAAGTTTAGGTCCAAATATAGCTGTAACAAATTATCTGGTCCCTGTGTGTTATATATATATGACCTATTGCAACACCATAAAACAAAAATAAATGACATCACAGATTTCAAGATCATCTAAACACTATACAATGGAGACAATAAACTAGATATTGCACCTAACAGTGTTAGATGGCAGAATTTCAGACTTTTAGGACTAATATTTCCAGTTAATAGCGCCGACTTATACTGTGAACAGACACCGCTGTATGTCTATTCCATTCTTTCTGTTGGAGTTTTGATAAGGTGTGAAATATTTTACAATTTTCTGATAGCAGATGTTTAAGTACAGTGTATAACTAGGACCTATATATTATAAGATATGTTGCAATTCAAATATACTCTAATATCACAGGAAGGTATATATAGATCACGGGAAACTGATGTTATGGGTAAGTACAATCCAACCGTCAATTTGTTAACTTTCCTGTGATTCAACGAAATTGTGTATGCCATAAATTGCGAAATTTGTGCAAATAAAAAATGGAAATGGATGATACAAACATCATAAAGTAGAAAGTTTAGTCCAGACAAAGGGTTCGAACCCGAGACCCTCCGAACTCTAGACAGACGCTCTACCATTGAGCTATCTGAGCCTTTAATTGTTCTGACATAATTCAGGGGCGCAGAGAGCGCTTGCAAGTGGATGCGCACGACATGACGTCACATTACCTTTATTTCCCTTGTTTTTGGTTTATGAGAGAAAAAAAACTGCCCAACACGTGATTATCAATTGTAACTTCAGTAATCCTGACGTTGGAAGGTTTAACCAGAGAATTACACAAGAATATATCAAAATTCTTGACCTCTTTTTACATATCCTCCGTTTGATTTAACCAGAGTTTCCTCTGTCTCTGACACCATGCGTCGACATTTTGACAGATAGTCGTCTTAAGTCTGGTGTCAGGGCCAGAGGAGACTCGAGCTACCATCATTTAACGGGAGTTTAAAGATCGACAAAATCATCGCGCAAAGGATGACGTCATAACGGATACAGTGTGAAATAGCAAATACTGTATCACGTGTACTGCGCGGGAAGATATATTGATACGTGTACAACGCTCGATTGATCAAACTTATATCGGGTCGTTATTGATAGATCACGTGAACTTATTAACGGGAGTAATCAAACTTCTATCGGGTTATAATATATATCACGTACGTGTACTGTACGGGAATGATAGATCATCACCTGTACTGTACATACAGGAATGACCAGGCTTGTATCAAGTTAATAATAAACCACGTGTATCAAAGTTATTTAAGATTAACGATGAAATGCACTGAATCGCTTCATTAATCGCCACAGTATTGTACGATAACGTTTTCTCGTTTCAGACACTGGGCTGTGGCGGCGAGCACGGGAGTTTACGTCACGCAGCGCCAGATCCCTAAGATGGCGCTCATTTCCACCAGTCTACAGGGAGATACTATGCTCCTGGACGCCCCAGGGATGTCCTCCCTCATTATCCCTATCCACCCCAAGCAGGGACCAAAGACATGGGTCTCGAAAATTAAGTACGAATTTATGTTTGCTCTTTGTTCAGAATACAGCTTAAATGTATAAATACTTTGACTTTGACACAATAATCATGAAATATTCAGACAACCAATGCTGTACAATTATTTTTTTTACGTATAAATGTGGAAATCATCGAATAATAATATAGTATTGTTATATGATTTACTACAGAATAAAGGAGGAGTGGTCAACTTCTTTGGACCTCGGTGATGAGGCGGCCAGCTGGATGGACAAGTTTCTTGGCAAGACTGGACTACGTGTTCACTTCTCGTCCCCAGAAATGGACAAGCGTGACGCGTCTAATGTCACAAAACTATGGAAACACAACGCCAAAAAGGGCGACACGGTAATATCGTATCCATTCTAGGGCACGCGCTAGGTCAGATAGTAGCCAAAACACAGGTTATAACAATCACCGCCCCAACCTCTCAGCTTTCCTTGTCGTCCACAGAAACATTAAGTGTAGGACAAGGAAGCCGGGGAGAGATTGGTCCCAACCTACCAGTTTCAGAGTGACATGTCGAATGGCCCATTTACGTTATTTACAAATTCTGTCGGAGAGTAAGAGAGGAACATGATAGATCATTATTCCAGATTTCCATTCCGTGTCTCATACAGTTTTAACTCTGTACATAGTTATGACCGTTTTCGGTAGTTATATCTTTAAAGCAATGTGGGATAGCTTTGTTAAAACAAATTGAGATATTTTGTCAGGAAAAAAAGAAAAATATAGTACTTATTCAGATAGGGTGTTTCATAATGTTAAGACGTCTTAATTTAGAAAAAACTGTATTTACTGAAATTCATAGCTGTCAACCCTCCCTTATTAGGAGGGAGACTCCCTCATTTTGACCAAAAATTATCAATCGCCCTCGAAACTCCTACATTCAAGTGAAACTCACACAAACTCAAAATCTACATCGTTTGGTCAAATGATCTCCTAGTTACTGCAGGGTATGTGTAATGATCATAACAGGTGTGTCTGAATCAAATGGATGCTTTTTGGAGTTATTTTGATGCATAATAAAGGAAAGATAAATTGAGCAAAGCGGTTTTAGTCGCGTTTCACCACTTTCTCCCTCATTGGAAATGCGGAATGTTGGAGATCTCCCTCATTGGAGGTTTCAGAGGTTGACACCTATGATTTTTTTTTCTATTTCATTATAGCTGGCGTTCTCCGACTATTGTGGTTATATGCTAATGACCTCAGCAAGCCTTAACGAGCTCAACAAACGATTGGCTGAGCCAGTGACCATGCTGAACTTCCGGGCGAACATTGTGGTGGACGAATGTCCAGCCTTTGATGAGGTAACTCATACCCCATATTATCAGGGGGCAAATATCGGGCGATGTGGATATTTCGGGAAAGTTTTTGTATTGGTTTGAGAGTTTCGAAAAGTATGCCATACTTATGTTACTCAGATTTAAATGAAATTAATTAAAACGTGTCTGAAATATGATTTGAACATGTTTCGTACATGTGTTTTTCTTGATGTTTACAATAAATCTAAATGTACACGCAATGGATTCCTATATATTGGAAGTCACAGGATCTATACATTGTTAGTAGCAATCACGTTAGTCTAAGAACAACTACCGGATGACACCATGTCATTAATGACACTGTAAGCTATGTTTAGATACATTAACGGTAAATGACCCAATTCATTGTTCTATTTTATGGAATAACCTGTGGGGTTGCTCTTCACTTCCAGGATGATTGGGACGAAGTTAAGATCGGTAAAGCAACATTCAGAAACATCGATGCATGCACAAGGTATGATATACAGCGCAATCATTTTGCGGTTTGCTGTAGACACAAAATTGACAATTTTATATAAAAAAAAAAATACGTAAGTTAAGCGGCGTTCGAACACCATAATTTTAATTTTGAATGAACATAGCATATTTACGGTCATACAGGGTTAAAAAGAGAATCAACACAACGCAAACATGGACAATGAACCCAGCACATTATGTTAACAAGCCAATCAACACCGATATTCACAGCACAATGAGTCCAGTAGAGTCACTGTAAAACATGAACACTATAAGATAACACGTTTGTTTACATGTGTATCCTAGTTACAGTTGTATGAACATGATTTACGATATAACACGTGATTGTCTACAGGTGTATCTTGGTGACGGTAGATCCATTTAAGGGAGAGAAGAGCAAGGATGAGGAACCACTGACCACGCTGAAAAAGTGAGTCTTCTCCTCTTTTGTAGTGAGTTTTGAAATCTCCATAAGCTGGATTATTCATATCCGGTCAAAGTAATACTAGTATGAGAAATAATCCATTACTTAACACAGACATGTAAGTGGAGAAGTGGAAGTTCATGTTCTGAATCCTTCACAGATCGATATCGTGTTCAATATTATATTGGACTGGTCGGAAATGTTTGATATGTCAGTGACATTGAACTTCATGAAAATTTTAATTCTGATGTGAAGTTTCTTTCAAAGTATTTGGTATAAAAAAAAAATTGAAATATTTACTGACAAAAACAAACAGACTTTTGTTGTCAATGTCACATTAAGATGTTTGCCTATGTTCTAGATCACATTATGATGTTCACCTATGTTCTAGCCTGAGTTTCCTCTTGCCCTGACACCAGACTTGGACATTTTGTTAGATATATATATCGATCTGTCAAAATGTCTTAGTCTGATGTCAGGGCCAGAGGAATTTCGGGCTAGTCCACAGTCTTATTTAGTTCAGAGAAAGCTTGATAAACCACAATGATATGTCGTATGATGTTAAAACAAATATGGTTAATATTCCTAGGAGAACAGATAGATGACATCAGGCTGCGCCTCAAAAAGAATTATGTTCTGTGTCTCCCATCTATTCACAGGTTCCGTTTGAAGCCACCTTATGGTCCGAAACCATGCCTGGGAATCCATCTTGCCATGGACCATAATGACACCATACACACTGGTGATGTGGTATACGCAAGGAGGAAGCGGAACTAGATCTAGATAACCGGAAACGGAAATAATAATATAATGATTTCGTTGTTTTGTAAAAGTGAATAATTTTTCAAATATTCTAGAGTGTTACTATATATGTGCAGCACAAATGAATTTACAGGAATGATTGTTTTGTCTTGACTGATACATTTGTGCAATGTCACAAGCAAGATGTAATGAAGTGCCCTTTTTATTTCTTGTTTGAAAAGGAGAACACTATCATATACAATTATAAATCAGTGATGAAATATTTGTTGTGAATGTTATACATTGTTGGAAGAGAGCAAATACATAGGATACATATTTCACGTTCTTACTAACGTGTGTAATTATACATCTGTCACATATCTTTTATATATGAAACTACATATCTGGTATATGAATACACTAATATCATTGTGTATAGATGTGATTACAGGTCTGTCATAAGATCAACCAAATGTTATTACAGATTCCTCACATACCAAAGTATAGATATATATTTACCGAAATTTCATATGATCACACTAATGTTATTCATATCTGTCATAAGATCACATAAATGTAATTCATATCTGACATAAGATCACATAAATGTAATTCATATCTGACATAAGATCACATAAATGTAATAACAGGTCTGTCATATGATTACACAAATGTAATTACAGGTCTGTCATATGATTACACAAATTTATTTACATGTCTGTCATATGATAACACAAATTTAATTACATGTCTGTCATATGATTACACGAATGTAATTACATGTCTGTCATATGATTACACTAATGTAATTACGGTTCTGTCATATGATTACACAAATTTAATTAATACATGTCTGTCATATGATTATACTAATGTAATTACGGTCTGTCTTAAGATTACACAAATGTAGTACGGGTGTGTCATAAGATTACACTAATGTAATTACGGGTCTGTCATATGATTACACTAATGTAATTTCATATCTGTCACACACATTACTATAGATGTAATAACAGATCTGTTTTATGATTACTCTAATATAATTACATATCTGTCACATATCATTGTATCATTTTATAGATGTAATTATAGATAGGTCACATATAATCATACAGATGTAATAAACGAAAGTTCATGAATATAATTACACTAATGTAATTACAAATCGGTCACATCAATATATACTTATGTCATTACAAGTTTGTTATTACTTTAAGTCTTCCGACTTATCAGTTACAATATATATACAGTACAATATAATATATAAAACATATGTTTAATAAAATATGAATTTAGCTCTTATGTCAGCATTACAAGGACATTTCAAAATGAAACGAAATTCAATTTCTACCTCATTCATATTACATAATGTCCACAATCTGTTTCCTCTTTCGATATTGTTTTACCTGCCACATTCAATATTTAATCTGTGTGCTGATAGTCTTATTTTATAAAGATGTTTTACATAATTGATATTGATAGATTTATACAAATAAAATAACAAATATATTGATAAAAGTGCACCTTTTGCAGAGGATGTTATTTTTTCAAGACATTCTTGTTTGAATATACAAAAATATGTATCATTATTTAGACTCGGGGCTTCCCACACATAAGCCAGACCAATTACGTATAATTCTTGCCTCACCTTACTAACCATATATCCTAGTTACATCGTATCTCAGAGTAGCATTATTTTAAAATATAGTTTTCAGAACCTCTTAATTTTATCCAATATTTGAAAATACGAAATTTTCGAACTATATTCATAGGATACCTTCCTAGTTCATAATATGCCATATAATTACCTGCCTTACTATGTAACCTCAAAATCAATTTGCAAAAAAATACATGTAACTTTTCTATATCCGGTGCTGCATGGAAGCCCCATACTTACGTAATTACATATTTGTCTTGGTACGTACTATTTATATAATTTTTTTTTAAATCAGATTATATTTTTGTTATGAATTTCAGGAATATAAAACTCATAAAGATATTTGATTGTTTGTCTGTGATGCAATTTAAGGTCTGAACAATGTGATGTCGTGTGGGGAGGGACGAAGAGAGAGTCCCTTAGCCACATACACCTACATGTAACACCCCATGCTACCGTACGCGTGTCCAGGTTATATTTATCATCGTATAGCATTGCCAATATATAACCCTACCCAATTCAGTTGGCATTATTGGTCTGCTGGATAGCCGAACTACTCGATAGTGAAGCGGAAGTGGGACGACTGGTTCGCCCGTTGTCAGTATAATGTGACCTGGTGGGGTGTCCTGCTGGGTGATACGAACATATCGCAGCCTCCTTATAGGGGAGGCCGTCCCTGTGTGCAAGATGCATGCGTGTGTGTTTTAGAGTACAGAGTACATACCAAAATAAGTTCCCTTGGCCCAGTGGTGCTTCATATCTAATTTGTTTAAAGTATGATTAGTGGTTCAGGAGTCGAATTTTTAAAGGAAAAGGTTTATAGACGAACGACGGACGCACCAGGGAACAATTTCATCCAGGACTAGAGCTAAACATTTACAGACAGTCATGAACAGTGCGAGATGTCTTCAAAGCTGTACAATTATCCTTAGTGATATGCAACAGTGGTTTATATAAATATAGCAAAGTTGGTTCAAATTTTTAATAATTAAAAAGTATATAAAAAACGAACAGAAAGATACAGGATGCTTGTATAAGTATGTGAATTGACCACCGACTCCAGTTAAAAAAATAATAAGTCGACGGACGAAGAAGTACTGATTTGTGCGTTATTTATAATAAAAAAAACACTACCATCTCTGTAACAGCTCCTCTCATGTCTTCAGAATCACATTTTCCACAAGAAATCACATTCCCACAGAACATTATAATATATCGATGGATTTTGGACTATTTTTTCTTGAAATATTGATTGATAGTAGCCTGTCTTGACATCTCCAGTGTTGGAATGGAATCCAAGGTATGAAACACGTTCCACAAAGCATCAAGGTGTTCTCCCGAATCAGAATGGTTTTCAAAAAATCGAATGCATCGAATGGCACAATGCTTCGCCTCTTGTACAGACACATAGTTTGACGTATTACCAGGAAATGACGTTTCTTTCTGCTCATGAGTCTCAAGACATTGACCCTCAAATGACCTTTCACATGATGTCCCTGGATGTGCACTACCTTGCCGTGTACGGAAGGACAACACTGGGACGGGGAATGAGCTGTTCATCTCCGTGTCATGTCCGTCAGGATCGACACAAAGCGAATTAGGAATATCCGAGTCCGATTCCCATTGATTCTGACCTTGACCTTCCTGATCAACGTTCATGTTTCCTGAACATGCAGTGTCGTTACATTCCCCATAATCCCCATCGTTACTACACACTTCCTGTTTGATGACCATACTGTCAGGGGGTGGAGAGTTCGGGTTCGAATCTGACATTTCGGAAGTTTGTGCTACTTTAGTGTTTCGATAATCGCCTAAGAATGACCAGGAATGTGTAACAGTAGGAAACGATTCGTCAACAACTGATTGATCGGCTCCAGAATCAGCAACGTTGTATTGACTGCCACGTGTAAACGCCTCATTCCCCTCCAATAAACTGAGGTCCATACTACTTCCTGTGTCAAACTCCATCAAGGACAGTCTGCGGGCGATTTCTTTACCATCCTTGGTGTTTAGTCCTTGTCGCTTCTTAAATTTTATTAACCAGCCTTTGGAATACGAAAACGACTGGTCAATATTTAAAATCGATCCTATTTGTCTTGCGTTGTCCAGAATAAACTTGTCAGTGAAAACTAGTTTAGGATGACATTTTCGTAAATTTGCAAGCCATTTCACAAGCTCAGTCTCTAGCTTTCGATGGCGTCCGCCTCTGCTTCTCAGCAAGTCCTCTTGGTCTGGAGTGATATTCAGCCACTTCTCTTTCTGTCGAATAATATCACTCAAAGTTGAACGTCCGATTTTCAAGTTCCATTTACCTAAGCAATGTTTTGCCAACTCGTCGTACGTAATTTTAGGATGATACTGTTTGTAGACACATATTTCACGTTTATGTTTGGCCGTGATCTCCACCCTATTACGTTTTGCTGGTTTTGTAGCCCCAGCGTTCAGTGATGGTAAAGTCCCCAACCGTACTTCGTTGTTGACCTTATGCATGGCTTTGGCCAATTTCTTACGAAGGTTACGATCAGCTGTTACAGCTGTGGATTTTGTGTCGTTTTTGTCAGTGATCGTTGTGGATGTTGTGTCGGTATTGTCAGTGATCGCTGTAGATGTTGTGTCGTTATCACCAGTGACTGATATTAACGATTCTGTCGTGTTCTCAGTATCCTCTGCTGGCGACGGAACCTTGTCATCGTTGTCTGAGCTCGGTGATTCACTCGTGTGGTCTGACAAAGCCGTGAATGAAGCAATATTAGTGTCTGAAAAACTCCTTTTCTCTTCTTCCGCCATATTCATTTGACCGGTAGCACAAATTCACCTTCAAACTCCCAATTTTAACTCGTCATGCATGCTTTCAACGTGTCAAATAAGTCCAATGAATACATACTTTATAACTTCAATGTATACCATTACTCACGTTAAATATGCAGATCCGATAACCTATCAGATGTCTGGGACATTGTCTGAATTTGTACACATCAGTTCGTACACTTGTGTTTCTCTTCCGGTTTATGATCCATTAGCGCATGCGTTTTGCAGCATTATCGGAACGTCGGATTATAGTAACCGGGGTCTATTTATAGCTCCACGACAACAAATAGCTCTCACTGTAACATTACGAGCAGACGACAAAGGCTATGTATACGCACGTTTACACCACCAAGGACAGTGGGTGGGTAGATTATACCCAATGACAACTTTCCAAGCAGATACATTGAATTTATTTAAACGTTTTTCACAAATGAACGGGAAACTGTAGTAAAGCACAAGCCTCTGATCCTTACTATGATATGTTTTTTATAAGTAGGCATATAGGGATGATATGTAGTCAAATACAATGATATTTGAAATGACGTCCCAATCGGCCAATGAATGAGATGAAATAAGCTTTTACCAGATTAACTCAGAAGTTCACATTGTATACATTAGTTTAAACGGACGGCAGTCGGTTCACAACAGTGTCCTCGACACAACTCCGTATACACACACGCTGTATATGTGCACGCTTACGTACTCTGCCATTTAATTCCCACACATGTATATATACGCATGCGCTATATCAGCATACGCTGTAAACTGCCCGGAGTCATGGTGGAGCTGCTCATATGCATGTTGTGAACGTAACTTAATTCGTGGGTTACAGTAATTCATTGTGTCAGTGTAACTGAATTTCGAGTTGCGTGTTTGTTTGAGCGGTATGGAAAGTCTTGAGGAAGAGCCGTATTCAACCGAAGAACAAACTAGGTCACATTCCGATATAAGGACAATGGCGGACGAGGTTCACTGTTATCAGCGCAACGACGCAACCATGCACTATACGTCTGGATTGTCAACAGAGAAAATCAAACGAACCCGTGTTGGCCTTACAGCTAGACACAAAAGGGAGATTTGTCTGTATAAACAATTTAACCCGAAAGCAACACAGGAAAATCTTGTCCAGTTTTGTAAAGACAAATGGAATTTGCCGGCTGGAAGGACAACCCTAGGGGAGATACTTCGCCAGAAGGATAAATGGTTGAGTATCACACCTGACCAGGAAGAGATGAGGAGAAGTAGGGGTGGACGACACAACAAATTGGAAATGGAACTTTTTAAGTGGATATCGGCTCAAAGGAAAATCGACACATCGATTACTTTATCGGATCAAATGATCATCGAACATGCCAAAATCCTCGGAGAGGAATTACATATTGATCAGTCGTTTTCGTATTCTAACGGTTGGTTATTCAAATTCAAGAAACGCCATGGGATTAAAAGCAGGGGCACCACAGGACGGTTCCAGATTTTAGAGGACTGCTACTCATATAACGATCGCAACCCTGGAGTGGCATTTAATAGAAAGTTCCCCGATTATTCTGGTTCTGATTCTGAAACAATGCTTCATGGTACACAGAACATGTTTACTAACGTTTATGATTCCAATGTAAACGAGTCTGGAATCATGGATCAATCCCAATTTTATCCTCCCTATATGAACATATATGGGCAAAAAGAAAGCGTTAGTGACAGTTCTCAATCACAAGCCATATCCCCTTCCGCTGTACCCACTGAAATGATAATTAAGGAGGAATATGTCTCCGACAACGAAAACAGCAACGACTACTATGACGTAAACGAGGCTGACGAAAGTGGCAATTCCGTTCAAACCAGTGTTACCCATTCTCCTTTGCTGCAATTAGAGTGCGAAAACGAGGCGCACGGTACATCAAGGCGACAATACGTTCCAAAGGAAAAAGACAATTCAGAATGCTCAAGTCATCAGAGACGTCCTCATCGTACAATCCTGCCTATATCAACAAAGCGCATCATTACAGCTTCAGAAGCGAAGCATGGTGCTCTGTTGTGTATCCGTTATCTGGAACAGCATCCCGATCTGGGGGAACACCTTGACACGGTGTGGGAGGTACACGACGATATCGAGGCACACCACAAGGGGGTGATGACAAACCAAAGGACAATCACAGACTACTTCCGCCAGAACAGGACTCGTTCTGATATCAGATTATAATTGTGGTAAAAAGGACAAATATATACTTACAATATTTCTCTGTTACACTGCAGTGTACTGCAGAATTTTACGGAGGAAAGAAGGATAGAAAGAATAGATGATATGCTTTCTTTCTTATACTTTAATTCGTCAGTAAATGTATGTAGAATAGTTTATTAGAGATAAAATCTAGTGAGATGTTGTACAGATTAAAATATAGCATCAAAATATAATGTAAATGGTGTACGGGATGCGACATTAGCTTTAAAAAGTAGTTTTCATGTTTATCAAAGTATGTATGATTATTAGCGAGCAAATGAGCTGCTATAAACACAAGAAATAAAGACTGGAAAGAGGCAATAGACACACGTGTTTATCGATTAAATTTGGAATGTACATTGCACATAATTTGCTGCTAAATTTACGTTGTAAAAATATGCACATTTTTGTATATATATATGTATAAAATGTTGAACTAACAAATGACATTAAACATTAAACTTGCTTGTTTAAATGGTATGTTTTTTTGTCTATTTTCCCCAACATATCAGGTTGTTATAACTAACAGAAATCGAGTATACTCAAAAATTCTGTTCTCGTCTCATCTTGATTTCAAAAACTGATTTTTTTTAATGTAAGGATATTTAAGAGTTTTATGAAGAAACCGTACACAGTCAGACCACACAAAACGGTGTGTTGTAGAGGACTAACCTATAATTAGCGAAGACACCGAAAGGAAGAAGACATTGACTTTCCCTACCAATATAATTTAACGTTACATAAGTATATAACCCCCACCGGACATACATATATAACGGTCTGAGAAAAACAACTGGAGTCAATTACTTAAGTAACTAACAAAAGAAAGAAATCAAGAATTTAGCTTAACAAAGCATTATTTTTTATCTATAGAAGACCGACTGCAAAATCGTTGGACTATCCTTGCAAAACTAAGGTAGTCTGAGGACAGTGAAACGGACGGACGCTCCTCTGATCATAGCCCCGTGAACATATTTGACGGACGTATACCTATCACAGAATAAAATCAACGTTAGAAAGTTATCCATGTAGTTTCTTCTTGTCCCGTTTAAATATTTTCATACACTTCAATACAAGAAAGCAATACATATGAGTTTGGTAAGGGTCGGAACAGGCCTACTGTATGTTATTCCTCCCCTGCGGTACTCTTGTTAACTGTTTATTTAGTCTTTTCACTTTTTGGCCCGGGGGAAAAAAAATCCAAAGTTTGAAGGTATGAAAACAGTTGGAGCCACATCCAGAAACGTTTCCATTGTTGAGGGAAAAGTACAATTTTACCCCGAAACCAGGGTTAGACACTAACTTATTTTGCTTGGTACTCTACATGACTAGTTGAATAGATTATTTACTAGTCCTTTGTCAATGCACGGAATTAGATTATCTAACTGGTCCAATATTTCCTTAAGGAAACATCGCGATCTACAGCACGAAAGATCAAAAGTAATCAACTGTAGGGGACTTAAAATAACTACTGCCATAAAAATATGGTGAAGTTTAAAAAAAAATGACAACTATCAGGAAATATATCTTATTTTAAGCAGTTTTCTAAATTTTGAAAAGGGAATATTCTTATTTTATGATAATATTTTTCAAAAGTCCAAAGTACATGTACCAGTTAGGTTAGGTGTTTCACTAGTCCTTGCTGAAATCTACTAGTCTATGATTAGCTGACTAGTGTTAGTGTCGACCCCTGGATAAACGGTGATGAAATAGTGTTGTGATACCATTTTCTTACATTTTGTAGGAGTTACGCCCCTTGTGTTTAGACGAAGTGGTAAGTCTACCAAGATTTCAGTCAACATTGGGGATATTATAGACAGTATTTTGCGTTTCTTTTGACAGGTCCTCAAACTACGTGAATGCCAAAGTATATATGAGGAATTTGGGAATGATGCAGCCGCCGAGTCGGATGTCAAACTACTGACAAGTACTGTGAAATTATCATAGAAATTGAAAGTACATGTAGGTCAAATTATAGGTAAACCACAAACTATACTGTAGTGTAGGCCTACTGGTACCACGACGTGGACCGTCTTCAAAATGTTACTGTACTTATTATTTTATACGACTTTAACCATAGTTTCTGTCTACAGGTGCACTACATTCTCACCGCATCTGATGCCAGTACTGTAGTGTAGAATGGTACAAAACGCTTGTAATCTGCTGACCTCGATGTGATTCCTGATTTTCAAAGCTGTCAACATGGCAGGTGACAAAGGTAAGTTATATAAAGACAAAAAATAAACAATTTTTTAAATATTCAATTTGAAGGAATTTTGTCATATCCTAAATTTGTACAACACATATTTGTTTGTTTTCTTAAGATGTTTGCAAACTTGTAGTGACAATGCAGGGACCCAGGAATGTGTTACCTTATAATTATTACACCATTATTTTAGAGGTGTGTGGGGCGGATGGGGGTGGTGTGGTGGCATTAGAGGTTCATCAGATTCTAATATTAAACACAGTAGTAACTTATTCTTATGTTCATGTGTGCATTAAGCCCGATTTTCCTCTGGCCCTTACACCAGACTATGACAATTTGCCAGATAGTGAGATATGCAGCCTCTGTCAAAATGTCCAGGTCTGGTGACTCAGGGCCAGAGGATACTCTGGTTACTGTATGCTAAAAGTACAATGATAAAAATCAATACATTTAAAATACCATCAATGTGACTTAAGTAGACTTACTTATTTCTATATAAAATAACAATAATTTTAATCATTCTATATTTACAAATTATTAAGGGTATACCATGGTGGATCTGGAGAGATAACTGTCCTTCAGAGTTAGTACAATCAACATGCTATACCACCTATGCCAGAAGTCGCACTTCACAGACTTGGATAGGCGGAATCTAACTTTACCTTAATCATTATGACAATAATAGAATGGGTAGTCACTTTGTATAGACAGGTATGAGACATTGGATCTATACTTACCTCCTATACAATCTACAGGTATGATACATGTATAAGATTTGTAATCAATCCAACTTTTAATGTCACTAATCAAGTGTATTTGTTCTGTTTCAGTCAGTAATAAGCGAAGACATAAGCGTGACAGCTCTACTTCAGAAAGTAGTGACTCCAGCAGTACTTCATCCGATTCAGGTATAATCAGTTGTGAGGATTCAGTTTTTTTTCAAAATGTCAAAATTACATGTATGTATCATTTGTTTAAAAGAAAATGTTGAAGCCTAAATCAAGTTACAGTTATAATCATTAACATTTGATTTATCTGATGTTGGAATCAATGTTTTCATACAGTTTCAATAATTTAAGACATAACAAAGTGTGTTGTAATGAGATTGATCAACAATCTCAATCTCAACTTTCTTTTTGTCTAACAAAAAATAAAAATAAAAAAAGATTGGTAGAACATTGTTAAAAAACAATTCACATAGTTTTGCTGTGGAAATTATGGAGGCTCCCACTGTAGGATAATGATCATCCTGCTTGTTATAAGAGAGATTCTTGAAATCAGATTTTGTCTATTTAAAGTGATGAGACTTAAATAATTTATTATTGTTTATTAATTTGCATTTCTGCAGGAGAATGGTATACTTTCATATCAAAGCTTTTCATATGTATTTTAGCTATCTTGGATGATATTTCTAGATTCGTCGCCAGAGAGAAGAAAAAAGTCTCAAAGACGTTCAAGAAGTTCAAGTAGTTCAAGTTCAGGTCAGTTTATCTAAACAGTATGATAACACAGCTTCGGACGTTATATTGTGATAATCAGTCATTGATGATAGAATTCAATAACCCATGGTATAAAAATAATGGTTTCAGTAGTATAATTCTTTAAGTTATGAACATGAGCAGCTTTGTGTTATTACCAAGTACTATATATCATCACCGGAGTATACTCCTATAAAATGAGAGGCCACTGGTCGGCCTTTTTTCTATCGGATATGATTTTGCCGACTGCCACTGTTATGCGGCGCCTGTCAAAAGTTTTTCGCCGTGTAAAACCTCTAACATTGTTGGAGTACACCGGAGTGGAGAAGAAGATAACATCGCAAGTAAATTGTAGACATAGAATCTAAAAACTTAACAAAGATTGGATTCCTGTGAGTTAAGCAATTTTGTTTTGCGGATACTCTACTTGTTATTGCAAATTTAGAAAGTTGGAGTATGATTCCACGGTGATTTGTCGTAATTGTTTTTATCGTAAGTAGGAATTGGTATTGCATTATGAGAGGACCTTGCAATATCTAGTCTTAAATTATGTTAGTGTACACCATGGAAATAGATAAGATTGCTATCTTAGTCCTTGTGTACACTAATGTGTGTCATCATTACATGAAAGAGCAGTGATACACAGATCAACAGAAAATGTAATTAGCAAGGTTCAAATTAACAGCTGAATTATTGCCAAACACTTGTATTCTATAATGTTAAAAATTTAGAAGTTATGATAGGAAAAAAACCAATACAAAGGTATAATAACGTATACTTTAATCTTGAACAGATCAAAAGTTAAAGTAAAAAGAAATAGATTAGTTCTACACCAGATTTGGACTGATTCAATTGCCAGTAACTGTGTAGTTCAATTAGTTAATCATATATTTTAAATCCATCAATCTACAATGAAAGAGAAAAGCTTAATTTTTCCATGTTTCGTCTTTTAAACCATCTTACTTTCGTGTTTAAAACCGTTACTGAAAAAATAAATTGTTATTTTGAGATTTTATTTTTCAGACTCCTCACCAGATAGAAAGAAAAAATCGCACAGACGATCACACAGTTCTAGCTCAGGTATATATATATACATGTACTGCCAAGCTTCTCCTGATTTCACTAGGCCAGCACAAATTACTGATCATTCTCATATTGCAAAACTTGGAAAAATAATCGTCTATTTAGAGTTATTCCCCTTTGAGTGTTGTTTTTGAGCTGTAGTTCATAGCCAGAAAATTTAATTTGAACCCTTTTGTTGTTAGTAGTATTGAAGTGGACAAACTTGTCCAGTCTTTGGGGTTTTGTGGTATGCACACAATCAACTATGTACTGTTCAAAGGATGAGTTCACCTTCCTGCTACTTTTGGCATCATTTTAATGTTGGAAAAAATATCAATTATTATGGTTATTTTCCTAGCATTAAATAAGTAGTTCTTAGCTTTCCATACATACTGTCAGTAAAATTAAACTTGAGCATTGACCTGGAACAGCTTACAACCCATCAAAATGAATTTTGAACCATATCAACTGGTATATGAAAGCCATTTTCAAACAATAACAAGACAAGCAAGGAAATAATGCTGCTAAAAAACTAAATATCACATTTTGTTTAAAAGCTAAATCCCACAGTTTTCTACATCTTTAACAGACAGCTGGGATATGTCAACTTGATGACACCCTCCCATCAATAAGTTTATTGCATGGTAAAGGACAAAATGTTGCCATTTTTCTTAACAATTGGGGCCATGGCAGCAGTGATTGAAACAATTTTAGTACTATAAAACATTCTTTTGCGAACAGACATTTGACTTTACCACACCGTTTGTAGACGTTTTAATAAAATTGCTTTTGTTTATGCCACTTCTGTGGTAAATAATTACTGGTGCGCAGCATAAAAGATACAAGAAACTTTATTTAGAGTTGCATACAAACAAATAAGAAACATTAGCTCTTTTGAGCTTTTAATGCAACAAACATATTTATTTATACTGAAAAAAATAAAACAATGGTATTAAATGAAACAGGGGTTATCACAGACGGCTTATTCATAAAAAGCTTTAAATCCTATCACAATGACAGGAAACTGTTATATCTCAGGTTTGTAAGTGATCACGAATCCTCTACCTACTGAGGCCACCATGACATACAATATCCTGTGGGAATTGTTGCTATGGATTACAGCTTTAACTATCATGTACACATCACCCTTTAGGATATTCATTTATATGCATATTGAGATGACTATCTTCTCACTTTATGTATAATGGTGATTTGTATGCCTTTTTTTGTTTATCAGTTATAACTAATACTATTAACCATATGTTGTAAAGCACTTGAGAGTAATTTTACAAAAAAATATTGGGTGCTGTATAAATGTTGCATATTATTATTATCACCAAATCATGTTGAATCCGTTGTTGGTGTTCTATGATATTTAATGCCATGATAAAGAACATACAAGCCACTGGTGCTTTCTTTATAAATATTTTTTATAAAAAGATGTTAATAGGACGTTAAACAACATATTTAAACCAAACCAAACCTTTACATTTTAAGCTAGTAACGGTTTCATGAATTTTACTTCTTGAAAACACTTCATGAATGATCTACCTTCTTATTTTCTCTTTCAGAACATTTCCCATCAAAGAAGAAAAGGCACAGGTGGAGCAGATCGTCCAGCTCTAGCTCATCAGGTCTGTAGAAAGTCAAACTGAAAGATTTCTTTAATGACAATGAACACAATTTGAATTTGATATATAAATCAGTCTTCCTACAATAGACGATTTTCAGAAAAAGAATAAATTCAACAGTTCAAAACTAGCAGACAAATTCTGTATTTTGATGATTGAAGCAATTGAAATTCTCCTAACGGTGCTCGAAGTGTTTAACAGTACTGCAGAATATAACGGGACAATGTTTATATTCAAAATATGTAACAGCTTTTGCATGCTCACTGATAGTGTGAAGATAGTTATTAATGTCTACAAGGTAATCATATTTTAATGGGTTTTTAACACAGAGGAAGAGAAGAAGAAAAAGAGGAAACATGATCACAAACATAAGGTAATAGTTTAAATCAGTTTGATAGATTGAAAAATACCATCACACAACAACCAATTAGTAAAATGGGAACAAATAATTCTGTATATTGGTACATTTGTAACCTTTTGGACAAAATTAGCCATTTCAATTTCAATGAGATTTGTTTGAATTTTTGAAGAATTATGTTGTTATTGGTGATTGTTCCTGTTGCATGAACCATGGTGACCTTGACCTTTGACCTGGTGATGAAATGTGGCTTTGTGCAAAACTTATCCTGGACATCTTGATGTGTCAACTCTTTGACACTTAAGAAAAAGTCAATGAAGCACCGAAAGCTTTCCAAAGATGACTGTGGCCCTGTACAATTGTCTAAGGTAAGTTGGTGGTACATCTGTACACTAGCAGTGTCTGGTTATGGAACACATACATACTGTGATGTTATATCCTTATTTCACACTAACATTCTTGCCCCTGTCACTATATCCAGATTAACTGTAAACCTGTCTTATGTTTAAATTATTTTTGAACGATCACCTTCAATCTGATTGCAAAATTTTATTTAGTATGAATGGAGGCAAAAATCTCTTTACAAAGAATCATCAGAATTTTGACATAAGATGTTCTGATTTAATGTGTATTGGAGACAACAGAAACTTGGTACATGGGGTTAGATACTATGTCCAAAATCAAAATCTGTCAAGAATAAAAACATCAAATTCAGTAACACTGTATTACCTTCTATAGATACTGCATTAGATCTAAAGATACCCATTAAATAAATATAGCTGTAATTCATTTAGTCAAATGATAATCCATTTAATTACATAATTATAATAATAATGATAAAAATTTGAGGTTCTTATATACAGCTTTATCACAACCTAGTTTGTAGGTCGTCTCAAAGCGGTTCACAAATTATTTTCCGTGGTTATAGAGCCTTTGCAACCAGCCAATATCTTTCTCAACTCCCTGTTGAACATACAGCCGGTGCTGCCATTTCGGCGCTCATAGCTAGCATTCTACAATTCTAGCACTGCCCAACCACATACTCATTTACAGCTGAGTAGACTGGAACAAGCGGAGTAAAGTATCTTGCTCAAAGATACAACACAGTGTCGTGACTCGAACCCGCCACCCTTTGGTCATAAGCCCGCCGTCCTACCAGTAGACTACCGTGCCTCCTATATGATAATCACTTAAATCACCTGTTTATAGGGAAAATATGATCACTCATAATCGTAAAGCGTTCCATTACTAATTTGCCTCCGATAAATAATTCCACGAAGTACATTTATTGAGCTCTGCACTTCAAAATTATGCCTTTTAATTTACAACACTATGGAAATAGATAAATCAATGAACCCTGTACAACTGTCCGGGTTTATTTTTGTGTGTGTTGTAGATGAGATGCCTGGAAAATCTTTCCTCATTGATACTTATTATCAAGTTATCAATTTTGAATTAAGATTTATTTATCAAAATCGTTCTCAAAATTCAATGAACAGATTTACAGTTTGTACAGATTTACAGTTTGTACAGATTTACAGTTTGTGTACCAAGAGATCACAATTTTCACAGTGTTGTCTCCCCTTGGCCCAGAATGCGGCGTCCAAGCACAACAAAGGTGTATTGGAATAGGTCGTTTTGTATTGCAACCAAACAACTTATAGTGGGATAATCATTCATCATGCAACATGATATAAGATCCAAATTTATTTTCCGATAATATTGTTTAAAAAAATAAAATTTAGGAAATAAAAAAACTGACAAAAATCAGGACAATTACCGTTTGTAGTGGTCCTTTTCTCGGAGTCCGTTCAACTGGTGTAAAAGTACATATCCAATTAACAGTGTATATAAATGATCAGAGCCAACACAGTTAGATTGTATGTTCTACTGATTACCAATAATCCTTTAGTAGTTTTTGTGGTTTATGTAATTATGTAGGACTTTTATTTGAGACCGTTGGCGATATATATCAACATGTTCCGGAGGGTTAATCATTTTATAAAAAAAATGTCAGTGTTTAGGTAATGTGAAGAAGCTTTTGTCTAAAAGCTACATATAGTAGACATATCATAGAACACCAAATATGACCAAAACATATAATTAGGTTTCTATGAAATATGTTTGCCATTTTATTCAGCATCAAATGTCAGTTAAGTGACCAAATAAAGAAGTAATTCTACTTAATTAAATTATTCTTTTTTTTCTTTCTTAAATGGACAACTTTTTCATATATTCTCCAATGAAGTCAGTTTCAAAGGTAAATAGACTAGTAATTACCTGCTTTATTGATATTTTTATTAAATGTAGATGTGTTTATAAAAATGATAATTTTGGTTATCCATAACAAGCTGAATAGGTCCTGCAATGCAAAACTGTAAAAGGGAATGCCAAAACCAACACCAACAGAGTTATAAAAAAAAAGTATGTGTTCCGAGAATGTATGATGATGATTCTAGAACTGAAGAAAGTTTGTTAGTGACTTGTAAAAGCATTTCATGAACTTTGCGTCCAAAAGCAATTCAGCAGTCAGTGTCTTTGTCATAACATTTAATATCAAGGATAAACCCATGTTATTAAAAACTGCATTCATTTAGTAGCTATCTGCTGACAAAATACAAAAAGTCACTTTCAAGCCTAAAACTGAAGCTTTATGCGTTGGACTAAAGAATATAATAAAAAAAACAAGATGTTGATTGTCCTATTTCTGTTGGTGGTGTGATCATATAAAGATATGCAGATGGCAGACATGAATTGCTGTGTCTGTAGGAGAGGATTCCCAGTAGGATCCTTAAGATGCTTCAATGAAAGATGTGCAAGAAGGAGACTGCGCTAGAGGAATGTACAGGAGGGTACACTTGAAGATGTTAAGGAGGCTTCAATGAAAGATGTTCAGGAGGGTACTCTTGAAGATGCTAAGGAGGCTTCAATGAAAGATGTCCAGGAGGGTAAACTTGAAGATGTAAAGAAGGCTTCAATGAAAGATGTTCAGGAGGGTACTCTTGAAGATGCTAAGGAGGCTTCAATGAAAGATTTTCAGGAGGGTACTCTTGAAGATGTAAAGGAGGCTTCAATGAAAGATGTTCAGGAGGGTAAACTTGAAGATGTAAAGTTCACCAGTGGGGCAGACAACAGTTCACCATTCGGGCAGACAACATAGTTCACCAGTGGGGCAGACAACAAAATTCACCAGTGGGGCAGACAACATAGTTCACCAGTGGGGCAGACAACAAAGTTCAACACTGGGGCAGAGAGCATAGTTCACCAGTGGGGCATACAACATTTCACCAGTGGGGCAGACAACAGTTCACCAGTGGGGCAGACAACATAGTTCATCAGTGGGGCAGACAACAGTTCACCAGTGGGGCAGACAACAGTTCACCAGTGGGATAGACAACAAAGTTCAACACTGGGGCAGACAACATAGTTCACCAGTGGGGCAGACAACAAAGTTCACCAGTGGGGCAGACAACATTGTTCACAAGTTGGACAAACAACAGTTCACCAGTGGGGCAGAAAACATAGTTCGCCAGTGGGGCAGACAGCATAGTTCACCACTGGGGCAGATAAAACAGCTCACCAGTGGGGCAGACATCATAGTTCACCAGTGGGGCAGACAACAGTTCACAAGTGGGGCAGACAACATAGTTCACCAGTGGGGCAGGCAACAAAATTCATCAGTGGGGCAGACAACAGTTCACCAGTGGGGCAGACAACAAAGTAAACCAGTGGGGCAGACAACAAAATTCATCAGTGGGGCAGACAACAGTTCACCAGTGGGGCAGACAACATAGTTCACCAGTGGGCAGACAACACAGTTCACCAGTGAGGCAGACATCATAGTTCACCAGTGGGGCATACAACATAGTTCACCAGTGGGGCAGAACATTTAAGTGTGGTACAAAACACACAACATTCCTTTACTTTTGTAGATGTCTACAAAGAAACGGGCAGATCGTGAATGTCTTCTACAAAAAACTTATAACAGGCCATACTGGAATCTCACCTCCAGGAAATTAACGAATATGACGCCAATACAGAAGTTCATAGGATATATGTAAAACAGTATCATATCTGCATTTTATAGATGTGTGCGGGTGTGATGCAGATTGGGATAGTGATGAAACTAGTTTCCCTTCATATGACAAAGAGAAAAGTAGCAGTAATGATCATATAGATATACAAAACGGAACATAACTTTTTATGGAACATCGATGATGCTAGTCATTGAGGAACAATGCAGTTATCTTCGATCAGCCAGGAAAACACGATTGCATATTAGTACTTTCATCAATTTGCTTTAAACATGTCTTTCAAATTACGAATGTATGTATGTATGAAATAAAACTTATTAAGCAGAAGCCAGAAATGTATGTCGATACAAACTGCTATTTAATGGTCAAGTTCTTTTTATCTTACAATTAACATATTCATATTGTGTCAACCCGCATTCACCCCTTAAACTATATGTAAGGCTAGAATATATAAATAGAAAATAAATATCACATGACAGTTGTTGCTATATTATACAATGCGTGATGGTGTATTTGCATGGAAGTTGATCGCTGATATATACCTTATAATCATGTAGTAGTTATACGTAGAATAAATGAAATAAATTAAAAAAAAATAGAATTATCAAATGCTAATTGATACATAATAACAACAAAACTTGGATACCCTGACCATTGACCTGAATATCTCCATCCGGGTAAATTTTTGCCAACATTTTTTTTTGGAAAAAAGTAATCTTACAGAATATATTGATATTTATTGCCAAATTTATTTTTTGGAAAGGAACATTTAGATTTAAATAATTACGAAAATCACTGATCCCTGTATTTTTGTCCTTGTGTTTAGTTCATTAAAAGATCGCACAGTAAAGAGGAGGAAAACAGGAGTGCTATTTCTGGGAAAAGAATCAAGATGAAGGTCAAGAAGTCAAAGAGAGATAAAGCTGTAAGTATCTTAATTGTTACATTCGGAGATATCTAGCTGTAAGTCTATTTCACTTAGTTACAATTAGATATGTGAATATGTAAGGATATATGTTTATATGCTATATTATAATTAACATTAGGGGACGAAAACTATGTTTAGTACTACTTCCATGCAAATGTTTCATTGGTAAACTGTTTAAGGTAATGAATCGTTTGTATGTGCATCACGTGTTCTTCATTAAATGCTTATGTAATATCCCATAATAGTTAGCCAGATTTATTGATAGAAGATTGTCAATGTATCTTAAATGTTAATTGCTCTTGTATATGATAGGCGTGTGTGATATGTGTTTTATATTTTAACAGAGACAGAAATGCTTTAACTCATTCACCCCCGAAATTTTATAATGAAATTTCCCAACCTTTGAACGAACTGTAATAGTTCAAATGTGTTTTCAGGGGTTAATGAGTAAAAATGTTAGGAAGAGGATCAATAGAAATATCTGTCTACAGAGACCTTAGAAATACCTAGTTTGCATTTCCTTTAAACAGATGGCCAAGAACCGTGCTCAGAAGTTGGACTTTCTTAACGCCGTGTTGTAGCAGATATAAAGGACCAGACTTCTCACTCCATATCAGTTATTGAACACAGCAGAGGATTTATGTACATAGTATAACCATAGTGTAACCGATTTTAGTATGAAATAAATAAAATATATTACGAATTGGTATTTCGAAATATTTTTGTAACCGTTCAACCATAATTTCCCATAGTGCACAGCCTGTGTTGCACTGGTACTGTCGTATGCCAGAAACTTGTTCTTGTCCCCGAATACATCAATATCAATATCACTTGAGAAAGTGTATTGGAGATTTATAGGAACTCTTCCATTGAGTGCAATTCTTGGTGTGGTTAAATCTACCGAAACACGAGTTTATTATACTTTGTACATGATGGGACAGAAGTCGAGATAAAATCACTGGTAAAATCTTCTGTGTGTAGAAACATGCATTGGTGAAACGAATACTTCATTAACAATGTTAAGCATCTAATCTCAGTTTGGGACATGACCTAAACTGGGGATGTCATCTAGTCAAACGTCAATACACGAACTTGCACCCCAAACGATCATTTGAAATTCTCAACCTCACTGTTCTAAAACTAACAAGAGAATACCGAAGTGACAACAAAATAGTAAATTGATGTCGATAAAAATAGGACAAAATGTGAACGAAGGAAAGATTTACATTGAAACTACTGAATAATAGGACCAGGTATCCCGGAAGGGAAAGCGTCTTCTGCTATACGTGGACGACAATCAAGTAACATTTCGTCCTCAAAGTGAGAAGTCGTGTAGTGGTGACATCGACACAATGAGAAACACTAGTGAGAATAATCAAAGACATCGACCATCACGTCACATGTCCTTTGAAATTGATTTTCTTATTCATGTTTTGTTTCATTCACGAACTTTTTTAAAAGTTTAAAACGACTACATTGTAACAAAACTACTACATTGTAACAAACATAAACAATGTTGACTACGGCAGTAGCTTTTACTACAGGAACGTGTGTTGCAAGACTCACTTAACTACATAATAAGTACATGCTCGTATTGAGCACTAAAACAAGTTCTATTTGATCAATAATTACAGTGAAATAAGAGAAAGTTTTACGGGATGTCGAATGTTTACTCTCGAATCGAGATGGGCTTTTGGGTGGCAATTGTCATACAACAGCAACTATTTATTTTAAAGGGTATCTAGAGTGATATATTAAGCATGAAATATGCTAGGATATGATATACATAATGAGCAATTTGGGAATAATATTCGTCCGAGCTTATCCTGTATTATAGAATAAAAATCTTACTTTACATAGGGCAACAGGTGTTCTGCTGAACACAAAATCCAAACTGTTGTCTGATGTAAAATGCTGATCTACAATTTGGCCGATGATCCAATAAAATCTCTTTTGATAGCGAAATCCAAATCGGCAACTCTTTTTTTTATCATCAACTGAAAACAAAGTATCGTATCATTTATGGATTGTCATTATTCCAACTCTGAAATGTTAACTGTTGTGCCATCTTATTTGGAATATTTCACGTGAAATCAACTCTATGATGTGTCATCAGTGTGTGATTTATGTGGATTCTGTATGTAGAATCAGTAAATAAGCATTGAACTGTTGATCTAAGGTATTTATGGTATATTTGAATGACACAGCTTTGCAAGCAAACAACATAATACGCACTAGCGCATTGTGATTTGTTGTGTCATTCAAATAGATCATAAATGCCATACAAAAACAGAGCAATACTTATATTTACGTTTTCTCCACCTTTAACGGGTTTTTTAAGTTACCAATTTTAATTTAATCTAAAATTCACGCCTTATCGACAGATTGAGCATTTATTTAAAAACTTGAACAGTGTATTGTCGCGTGCTGATTGGCTAAGAATTGTGTCTCGTGGTGCATGTCATTTAAAGTCCCATCAACGACACAGGTCACATCTTTTTAGTAGGTTATCTAGTGACAATGCCATGCAAATGTAAATTTCATATCTTAAATCTTTATAGGCGGAAAAAACAAAAAACCTTATGATTTTTTGTGGATAATGCAATATTTGTATAACCGGTTAAAACTTACTTTATTTTCGATCAAATTTGCGTTACATCACAAAAAGGCTCTTTCTTCAATTTAATTCTTTCGAGAACACTAATCCCAATGATACTTACTGTTGATATGTAAATTACACTCTCTCAGTCGTATTTTCAAGTATTTTGAATTACAACCCACAGGTTATGTAAGGAAAATAAAATGCACGCTGAAATAAGATGATTAACTGTTCCCAAACCTGTGATGGTCTACCTCGACTTCGGGCTGACAAGCTGTTATGTTCGAAAAGAATATGACTAAGACTTAGTATTGTATAAATAGCAACCAGACGAATGTGAACAAATAAAACAAACCTTTAAACTTTAATTGAACCGTCAGATGTCAACATGCAAGTTAATCGTGTTATTTTGGTTGGGGGAAGGGACACAGTAAGGTTCATTGATTCTCTTAATTGAAGGAGTTCGACAAGAAGAAAAAATCAATATACACATAAAACATATAATGTTGTATACACTTTTGATTTAAATATTACATATACATGTATATATACTTCTTACTTAACCTCCCTCGATAGGGAACTCGTATTCACAAACGACAAGAACATAGTAAAGTTTTTGTACCACCCTTTTGTAAACCTATGGTCAGCATTCTTCGTCTGTGAACGATGTAATTTCCCAAACGTCTTTGTTCTATTGAGATAGTTGTATTGGGATAGGGGGATACCAATATATCTGCTAAGAAATAGCTAGTATAAACGGATATCATAAATACAAGTAACAATTTCGCAAAGAAAAGCAGCCAATATTTGAGAAACATCGACAGATAACATGTTTTCTGTTTAATATTTATCCAACAAGCATGAACAAGTATGTTCAATCCTTCACAAAATTCGGTTATAAAAAGCCAAAATATCTTTTCAATTTCGAAAGAAAACAAATAAGAGTTTGCTCAAAAAAGATATTCTTTTTAAACTTGAATATGATTATTTTTTCTTAATCTCAAAAAATGACTTGATTCAGAATAACATCGCATCATATACCATGGATATATTCAGTAGTCACCTTATTAAATGCATTCATGAATTTCTATTGAGACACAACAAGAAGATCTATACATAAGGTGTAAAAGGACCTAAACAAAAGATATAATGATCCCTACAAAAACAAGACACGAAACCAACATTCAGACGAATATATCATATTGCATTAGTGGCGGCCGATATATCCATTGATTGATATTTACATAACATATGCATAAACAATACCTACACCCATCTTTACAGCCCAAAAACAAAAGATTCAAAAACCCCGACCTCCCTACCGTGACGTAACCCATATCTTTGAACCATGTGATATTTCTAGTTATGGTAGCTTCATGTGTATATATATACAAGACTGCTGTTATAAAATTACACGATATCGTTTTCTCTATAATGACTTTATTGGTGAAAGTGCATGCAAAACTAGAAAATACATCGACCTATATTCTCAGCTACATGTTGCCGTAAGATAACATCATAATTGTACTTAACATTATAGAAGTTTTACTCCCAAGGACGTATGTTCACGTGTATAAGGTGACAGTAGCAGGATCTGAATTCTTTTAACGGGGTAGTGTTGATAAGGCTACTGGCCACTGGTCAACAAAGCGCTGGGCTGGCTTTTATCAGTGGTTAGTCTACACCTGGCCCTTATGTAACATTCGGACACTGTTGGTCAATAATGCGTAGAGCAGGTCGACCCAGTGACTGCCATGACCTGGTTAGGCGACGTACAGGTGTAAGGACAGACGCTGGCCAGTTGATATTGGCAGTACATACTGTCCTTATCCACCACAATATGTACTCATATATTAAATCCTTATACTATGTTTGATACATTTTAGATAAAAGTAAAATAAAGAATACAATGTACCACATTGTCACATCTCAAGAACTAATTCCTTGATCAAAGTCGACATGAAAAGACAATAACGGAGGATATATCACAACGATAAACAACAAAAAAAGGGTATCGTAATATCCCAAAATCCACAACAAAAGGAAGGGTTCATGAAACCAAACAAAACAACAATAGGAAAAGTATCGTGAAACACCACAAACGACAAGAAAAGAAACGGTATCGTGAAACCCAATAAACCGAAACAAAAGGGTATGATGAAACCCACAAATCAACGCAAAAAGGGAAACATAAAACCCACAAACCACAGCAAAAAGGGTAACATAAAACCCACAAACAACAGCAAAAAGGGTTACATAAAACCCACAAATCACAGCAAAAAGGGTAACATGAAACCCACAAATCACAGCAAAAAGGGTAACACAAATCACAGCAAAAAGGGTAACATGAAACCCACAAACCACAGCAAAATGGGTAACATAAAACCCACAAATCACAGCAAAAAGGGTAACATAAAACCCACAAATCACAGCAAAAAGGGTAACATAAAACCAAAAAAGCACAGCAAAAAGGGTAACACAAAACCCACAAATCACAGCAAAAAGGGTAACATAAAACCAACAAACCACAGCAAAAAGGGTAACAAAAAACCCACAAACCACAGCAAAAAGGGTAACATGAAACCCACAAATCACAGCAAAAAGGGTAACATAAAACCAAAAAAGCACAGCAAAAAGGGTAACACAAAACCCACAAATGACAGCAAAAAGGGTAACATAAAACCAACAAACCACAGCAAAAATGGTAACAAAAAACCCACAAACCACAGCAAAAAGGGTAACATAAAACTCACAAACCACAGCAAAAAGGGTAACATAAAACCCACAAACCACAGCAAAACGGTAACATAAAACCCAAAAACCCCAGCAAAAAAGGGTTAAACAAATCACAGCAAAAAGGGTAACATAAAACCAAAAAAGCACAGCAAAAAGGGTAACACAAAACCCACAAATCACAGCAAAAAGGGTAACATGAAACCCACAAATCACATCAAAAAGGGTAACATTAAACCCACAAACCACAGCAAAATGGGTAACATAAAACCCACAAATCACTGCAAAAGGGTAACATAAAACCCAAAAACCCCAGCAAAAAAGGGTTACACAAATCACAGCAAAAAGGGTAACATAAAACCCACAAACCACAGCAAAAAGGGTAACATAAAACCCACAAACCACAGCCAAAAGGGTAACATGACACCCACAAATCACAGCAAAAAGGGTAACATAAAACCCACAAATCACAGCAAAAAGGGTAACATAAAACCCACAAACCACAGCAAAAAGGGTAACACAAAACCCACAAATCACAGCGAAAAGGGTAACATAAAACCAACAAGCCACAGCAAAAAGGGTAACAAAAAACCCACAAACCACAGCAAAAAGGGTAACATGAAACCCACAAATCACAGCAAAAATGGTAACATGAAACCCACAAACCACAGCAAAAAGGGTAACATTAAACCCACAAATCACAGCAAAAAGGGTAACATTAAACCCACAAACCACAGCAAAAAGGGTAACATGAAACCCACAAATCACAGCAAAAAGGGTAACATTAAACCCACAAATCACAGCAAAAAGGGTAACATTAAACCCACAAACCACAGCAAAAAGAGTAACATAAAACCCACAAATCACAGCAAAAAGGGTAACATAAAAACCACAAACCACAGCAAAATGAGTAACATGAAACTCACAAATCACATCAAAAAGGGTAACATTAAACCCACAAATCACAGCAAAAAGGGTAACATAAAACCCACAAATCACAGCAAAAAGGGTAACATTAAACCCACAAATCACAGCAAAAAGGGTAACATAAAACCCACAAATCACAGCAAAAAGGGTAACATAAAACCCACAAACCACAGCAAAAAGGGTAACATAAAACCCACAAATCACAGCAAAAAGGGTAACATAAAACCCACAAATCACAGCAAAAAGGGTAACATAAAACCCACAAACCACAGCAAAAAGGGTAACATAAAACCCACAAACCACAGCAAAAAGGGTAACATGAAACCCACAAATCACAGCGAAAAGGGTAACATAAAACCCACAAACCACAGCGAAAAGGGTAACATAAAACCCACAAACCACAGCAAAAAGGGTAACATAAAACCCACAAATCACAGCAAAAGGAAAGTCATGGTGAAACCCACAAACCAAAATAAAAGGAAATGTATGGTGAAACCCACAAACCAAAATAAAAGGAAATGTATGGTGAAACCCACAATCCATAACAAAATGGAAGTCTTCATGAAACCCCCAAAACAACAATAGGAAAGGTATCGTGAAACCCAATAAACCAAAACAAACGAAAATGTATCGTGAAACATAAATAGGGTATCATGAAACCCCCCACAAATCACAATTTCTCCGACTACCAGTACAATAAATCGGCATTAATAGATCACGCTAACCTATAATCACATCGTCGATTGGGACAATGCCAAGATAGTTGAAAGAGAACAGCATACAAGAACGAGACAAATCAAAGAAGCAATCAAAATCAGAAAAATGTATAACATGAACAGAGACGATGGGGGCACTAGCAGAGTCATCTGTATGACCCGATACTGACCTAACGGGAGAGGGGCTAGATGTACACCCTATCCGTAGACTATTAGATACAGTGAGTATATGCTCTCTATCGATAGGCGAAGCGTCCCGGGTCGAGTGACATATGAAATATACAATTTCGTCACATCGATGTACAGGTTAACAATACACGCTCATTTAGTCATAGCTTGACAAAGGGATCAGTCGATCTTGAAACGTTGTTACACGTTTACTACTTACATTGTGCATGAAGCAAAATTTTGATATTACATATTTCCAAACTAATGAATTGTGTCGAAGATTTAAATATTGGTTTTTAAAAAAGTTTTTTTTAAAAAGTTTGAGACCGCTGCATTTACAGTATCTATTTCTCACGACATGAATTTGATAGCACTAGCCCTATGTCGAAGATAATTAGCCATGTTCTAGAGTAAACATTATAGCATTCGAGAGATTTGGATTGTTAGAGATTATGAGAAGATTGTCACTATCGTGGCAAAATTGGGAAATATTATTTTTCCTTTTGCTAAATGAATAGTCTTGTGTAAGTATTAAATTTTATCGATTTTGAGATCGAAAAAGGGTGTCATTCTCACTTCGGTTTTTGACACGTCAATTACATAATCAAGGGAGCTGCTATATTGATATTGAGGGGAAAAAATTGACTGTCGTAAAAATGACGTCATAATGTTTGTTGTCGAGTTTGGTGAGAAAGTCACCTCTTTCGGCATAATGCTGGAAATTGACGTCATTCCATTCATTTTGCTCTCGGAGTTGCTTAGTGATTTTATTTGCCAAAACGTGGATAATGATTATGTTAAATGAAGGTTTCAAAACCACAGGTAACGCTCTTTTCTTGTTATGTGGCTATAGAAACAGAACGAAGAAACGTTTGGCTCGTCTTACCATTTCGGTAAAAATAATAACACAAATAAAATAATATCAATTAATACAATACTTTTTATCATGTTTTCATGTAACCATATAATAATCAATTATGTATTGACATTGAATGAAAAATAATAATAACAAAAGAAGAAAGAAAGAAGAAAAACAAGATAGGATATTATAAAAATGCTGAAACATTTTTGGTTTTTAGGAGTACTACGTGATGAAGTATTGTACATTCCACGACCGATGTTTCTTTAGCTATGATATGATGCTACCCAGTCACACTCCGGAACCATCATTTGTTCCATTGTCTTGTAGATATAATTTATTGACGCAAATCTTACTATTACACATTTCCTTGATATGTATAACGTGCTGGCCAGGGTCCATCAGTGCGTGGGTATACGTTCATTCTGTTATAAAGCAGTACCAGTAACGAATAACACACCAGTAATATACCTAACCTGTCGATATCACCCTGATTTTTTTCAATCTACATTAAAAGTGTAACCTCCTTTCGTTTTAGTAAATATGAAACAATTATCAGATGACAAACAACATGTAACTTATATATTTATAAGATAACAAACAAGATCGGACTACTATCGCTGTCAGATAACAAACAACATGTTACTTGTATATCTATAAGATAACAAACATGATCGGACTATTATCACTGTCAGATAACAAACAATATGTAACTTGTATATTTATAAGATAACAAACACGATCGGACTACTATCACTGTCAGAAAACAAACAACATGTAACTTCTATATTTATAAGATAACAAAGAAGATCGGACTACTATCACTGTCAGATAACAAACAATATGTAACTTGTATATTTATAAGATAACAAACATGATCGGACTATTATCACTGTCAGATAACAAACAACATGTAACTTATATATTTATAAGATAACAAACAAGATCGGACTACTATCACTGTCAGATAACAAACAACATGTAACTTATATATTTATAAGATAACAAACAAGATCGGACTACTATCACTGTCAGATAACAAACAACATGTAACTTATATATTTATAAGATAACAAACAAGATCGGACTACTATCACTGTCAGATAACAAACAACATGTAACTTATATATTTATAAGATAACAAACAAGATCGGACTACTATCACTGTCAGATAACAAACAACATGTAACTTATATATTTATAAGATAACAAACAAGATCGGACTACTATCACTGTCAGATAACAAACAACATGTAACTTATATATTTATAAGATAACAAACAAGATCGGACTACTATCACTGTCAGATAACAAACAACATGTAACTTATATATTTATAAGATAACAAACAAGATCGGACTACTATCACTGTCAGATAACAAACAACATGTAACTTATATATTTATAAGATAACAAACAAGATCGGACTACTATCACTGTCAGATAACAAACAACATGTAACTTATATATTTATAAGATAACAAACAAGATCGGACTACTATCACTGTCAGATAACAAACAACATGTAACTTATATATTTATAAGATAACAAACAAGATCGGACTACTATCACTGTCAGATAACAAACAACATGTAACTTATATATTTATAAGATAACAAACAAGATCGGACTACTATCACTGTCAGATAACAAACAACATGTAACTTATATATTTATAAGATAACAAACAAGATCGGACTACTATCACTGTCAGATAACAAACAACATGTAACTTATATATTTATAAGATAACAAACAAGATCGGACTACTATCACTGTCAGATAACAAACAACATGTAACTTATATATTTATAAGATAACAAACAAGATCGGACTACTATCACTGTCAGATAACAAACAACATGTAACTTATATATTTATAAGATAACAAACAAGATCGGACTACTATCACTGTCAGATAACAAACAACATGTAACTTATATATTTATAAGATAACAAACAAGATCGGACTACTATCACTGTCAGATAACAAACAACATGTAACTTATATATTTATAAGATAACAAACAAGATCGGACTACTATCACTGTCAGATAACAAACAACATGTAACTTATATATTTATAAGATAACAAACAAGATCGGACTACTATCACTGTCAGATAACAAACAACATGTAACTTATATATTTATAAGATAACAAACAAGATCGGACTACTATCACTGTCAGATAACAAACAACATGTAACTTATATATTTATAAGATAACAAACAAGATCGGACTACTATCACTGTCAGATAACAAACAACATGTAACTTATATATTTATAAGATAACAAACAAGATCGGACTACTATCACTGTCAGATAACAAACAACATGTAACTTATATATTTATAAGATAACAAACAAGATCGGACTACTATCACTGTCAGATAACAAACAACATGTAACTTATATATTTATAAGATAACAAACAAGATCGGACTACTATCACTGTCAGATAACAAACAACATGTAACTTATATATTTATAAGATAACAAACAAGATCGGACTACTATCACTGTCAGATAACAAACAACATGTAACTTATATATTTATAAGATAACAAACAAGATCGGACTACTATCACTGTCAGATAACAAACAACATGTAACTTATATATTTATAAGATAACAAACAAGATCGGACTACTATCACTGTCAGATAACAAACAACATGTAACTTATATATTTATAAGATAACAAACAAGATCGGACTACTATCACTGTCAGATAACAAACAACATGTAACTTATATATTTATAAGATAACAAACAAGATCGGACTACTATCACTGTCAGATAACAAACAACATGTAACTTATATATTTATAAGATAACAAACAAGATCGGACTACTATCACTGTCAGATAACAAACAACATGTAACTTATATATTTATAAGATAACAAACAAGATCGGACTACTATCACTGTCAGATAACAAACAACATGTAACTTCTATATTTATAAGATAACAAACAAGATCGGACTACTATCACTGTCAGATAACAAACAACATGTAACCTTTATAGCTATCAGATAACAAACAGGATCGGACTAATATCACTGTCAGATCACAAACAACAGTTAATCTTTAAAAATATCTGATACGAATAAGATTGAAAATATATCACTGTCAGATAACAAACAGCATTTAACCTATATATCTATTAATTAAGTATAAATGTAATTTTTTGCTCATTTCACCGTCAGATAAAAAAAAAACATCACCCCAGACAATTTTAGAAAGACGATATGACGTATATTACTGTCGGATAACAAACACAACTTATATTACTGTCAGATAACGAACAAAACTTGTATTACTGACAGATAACAAACAAAACGTATATAACTGTGAGATAACAAACAAAACTCACTTCACTGTCAGATAACAAACAAAACTAATATTACTATCTGATAACGAACAAAACTTATATTACTGTCAGATAACAAACAAAACTCACTTCACTGTCAGATAACAAACAAAACTTATATTACCGTCTGATAACGAACAACACGTATATTACTATCAGATAACCAACAAAACTTATTTCACTATAAGATAACAAATAAAACTTATATTATTGTCAGAAAACAAATAAAACTTATATAACTGTCAGATAACAAACAGAACTTATATTACTGTCAGACAGATAACAAACGAAACTTATATAACTGTCAGATAAAAAACAGAACTTATATTACAGTCAGACAGATAACAAACGAAACGTATATTCCTGTCAGACAGATAACAAACAAAACTTATATTACTGTCAGACAGATAACAAACGAAACTTATATAACTGTCAGATAACAAACAGAACTTATATTACTGTC